GGAGGAGGAGGGAGGAGGAGGAGGAGGAGGAGGAGGAGGAGGGGAGGAGGAGGAGGAGGAGGAGGAGGAGGAGGAGGAGAGGAGGAGGAGGAGGGGGAGGAGGAGGAGGAGGAGGAGGGGGAGGCGGAGGAGGAGGACTCGCCGAATCCTTCTCCTTCGAATGACTAAGAAAACGATCACATGGCCTCGAGACTCGCGGGTGGCCTCGAGACTCGTGGTCAGGAGGCTGTCCGGGGATCGTTCTGGGGCTGGTGCCGCGCCTCTGAACGCGTATGCTTGGGCCCCGCGAGGAGCAAGTCGGGCCTGTCCCCCTACAGGGGGATGTTCGACGAAAGACAGAAAAATACCCACAACAAATAGTCAGAACAGGGTACAACACTAGCCTGGGGACTACGTTCTGAGTGCTCTTTCTGGCCTTTCTGGGGTATTTTTTTTGGGGGGGGTATTTGTCATGTTTCGGCGAGAATCTCCTCTGCAGGGGGACACGCCCGGCATAACGCGAGGGGGCCTTGAGGAGTGGCCGATTCTCAGCAGCCTGGAGGCCTTCCATCGGCGGCGCACTTCCTCGCGGCGCGGGCGTCCGCGAGCCTCGTCTTCTGTGGAGGGGGGGAGGGGGCGCGGGAGGAGGAGGACTCCTTCTCCCCCCTCCCCTCCTCCTCCTCCTCCTCCTCCTCCTCCTCCTCCTCCTCCTCCTCCTCCTCCTCCTCCTCTTCCGCTTCCAGAACTGCAGCGGATGGTCCCAGAATCGGGGCCGCCGATACCGGCGCGCCGCGCGCGCCGCCGCGGCCGGGCCGCGGGGCGCTCACAGCGCGAGGCGGGCCCTTCAGAGCGGGCGGCGTGGGGATGGCTAGCCAGCTCCCCCACCCTGCCCCCCGGCCGGAAGCGTCAAAGCCAGGACGGGCAGGGCAGGGGCCAGACCACCGCCAAACCTACGCCACCCCCCCAAAGGGCCCACCACGACACGACGGACGACACGACGACGACGACGACGACGACGACGACGACGACGACGACGACGACGACGACGACGACGACGACGACGACGACGACGACGACGACGACGACGACGACGACGACGACGACGACGACGACGACGACGACGACGACGACGACGACGACGACGACGACGACGGCGACGACGACGACGACGACGACGACGACGACGACGGCGCCGACGAGGACGACGACGACGACGACGACGACGACGACGACGACGGCGACGACAACGACAACGACACGACACGACGACGAGACGGACCGCCAGTCCCGCCCCAAGGCGGCAAACGCAGGGGGGGAACGCTGCGCCGCCCTGGGGGAGGCCCCGGGACCTGGCAGCCCCCCCTGGGGAGGGGACCCCGCTTATGGGGGCCGCTCCAGGGGAGCGGGGTCTTTTCACCCCTCGGGCCCGGCGCTCCCCGCCTGCGCCAGGGGGACCCTCGGGTCCCGACCCCTCCCCTACGGGAGGGGCCCCCTCGGGGCCTCCTCCTCCTTTTCCTCCTCCTCCTCCTCCTCCTTTTCCTCCTCCTGATCCCCCTCCCTCCTCTTTCGTCCGTCTCCCCCCTCCCGATCCTCAAGCCGCGGCTCGACTCGTCAACGGGACGCGTCCGGAGGGCGTGACGAGTAGGAGGGGGACGAGGGCGAGGTCGGGCTTTCGGGGCTCCCGCGATCCTTCTCTCCGAGGCCCCTGGAGGTACCTGTCTCTCTCCTGGCGGCGGGTTGCCCCCGGACCCAGAGGCTGTTCGAGGCCCCCTCCCCGGGCTCTCCGAGGAAGGGGGTCGTGCGTCGCGCCGCGCGCGGCGGCGCGGCGCGGGCTGCGGCGGACGAGCCGCTCTGCCCTCAGCGTCGCAGGGCGAGGTCGAGCGGCTGAGGCGAGGGTGGCGAGGACGGGCCAAGAGCAGGAGGCTCTGCGGAGTCGCTCTGTCCTTCCCCGGTCCCTGCCGTCGCCCCGCTTCACGCGTGCTGCACCTCTCGCCCGCCTCGCCCGAAGACTCTTCCAACAGCAAGCCCTCCTGAGGAAGGGTTTGGAAGGTTCAAGGAAAGCACTTCCGAAAAACCCTCCCGAGGAAGGTTTTTTGGAAGGCTTTAGGAAGGCTCTTCCCAAACAGCCATCCTGAGGAAGGGTTTTGGAAGGCTTTGGGAAGGTTTTGGGAGGTTCTTCCCGAAGCGCTCGGGTTCCCACGGTTGCGCGAGCAGACAGAAAAGTCCCACAGGTGACTTTTTTATGCACTGTGTTGCCGATCGGCGCGGGCCCTCGAACCCCCTCCCTCCCCCCCCAATGGAGCAGGGTTTGGCTGTTTTTGGCGCCTGTGAGAAAGTGGAGTCTCGCCCATCGGACGCACTGTTGCAAACAGTCGCTCTGAGCAGAGGTGCAGAGCCAGACACCCCCCCTCCCCCCAGTCCGCCCAGAGTCGAAATGCCGAATAAGACAACGTTCACCAGGCGGTCGGGGAAACGGGGGGACTCCAGTGCTGAACGCAATCGGCGTGTCGCTTGAGGCTTCATTGCAATCTCTGCGTGAGTCGTGTTCTTGCTTCAGTGTGGCCTGCATTCGTGGCCCCAACGGCCGCAATCCCGCGTAAAGCATCGCCTCCATACTGTAACCGTCCCAGGTCGCGAACGTGTTGCAGAAGCATCGGGTCTCACTTGTTTAGTTCTGATGGGTCACGAGCATGTGTCTGTAGCGTCGCCAGGTAGACAAGTGGCAGCGCCGTAGAACTCGAACCCCTTGAGTCCTCCGAGCTCGTGGACGGGTGGCAGGGCCATACCATTGTCAACATGTGAGGCCTCCCAGGACACGAACGTCCCTCAGCTCCACTTGGGGGTGGCGTCAACGAGGGGGGCGAACGTTGAGCGCGTTTGCTGGTGCGAGATCGTTTTTTTTTCTCGGAAGGCGGCATGCGCATGTGAACATTTCCCCATAAGTTTCGCCCATGCGGCAGTTTGACAACGCCTCGATGCCGCTCTGGGTTGGCTTTGCGTGTGACTGAAGCGGCTTGGGCCTGGGCGCATGTTAATCGGCGTTTCTTTTTCTACGTCTGGACACGTGGTTGTCCGATTGGATTCTCACCGCTCGAGTCCTCCCAGACTTTCAGTGCGTGGCAGGCCGATCTGATGCCCTTCCATGTCACGAGCGGACCACGGACAGCAACCAGCCCAACCCAACTCCGACGCTGGACGCTGTACACGTCTCAGAGGTTCGCCGATATGGTTTTCCAATCCGCGGCCCTAGGTTCAGAACCCTTCCGCACGTTCTGGGCGCGTTTCTGGTGGTGCCTGGGCTCGGCTGTCCACGCCGTCGACAAATGGAGACTGCGTGTTCCACGATCCTTGGCCTGTGGGGTGCGCTTCCGGGCCGTCGGACCGTGGAGCGCGGGTCCGGGTTGCCAACACGTTCCCCCAGATTGGCCCCGTGCATTCTCCACGGCCAGGCGCAGAATAGGTTCGAGGAGGAGGAGGAGAAGGAGGCGGAGGCGGAGGCAGAGGCGGGGGCGAAGGAGGAGGATGAGGCGGAGGAGGAGGAGGAGGCGGAGGAGGCAGAGAAGGAGGAGGAGGAGGAGGAGGAGCAGGAGTGCGATGAGGAGGAGGAGGAAGAGGAGGAGTAGGTGGAGGAGGAGGAGGAGGAGGAGGAGGAGGAGGCGGTTGCCAAAAAGGAAGAGGAGGCGGTGGCGAACGAGGAGGGGGAGGTGGAGGGGGACCAGACGCCAGATGAGGTTCGGTCCTGCGGCGCGGGGAAAAGGATGTTGACGTCGGGCTCCGAGCTTCTGGGGCGCGGGGTCGTGCACGGCAGCGTGGTCTCCCCTCGGGCGCGCCGTGGTACTGCTTGTCCGCTGTCAGGGTGGGCGTTCGGGCTGCAAGGCTTTGGGCCCAGAGCCGTGCAAAGCAGCGTCGTTACGTGGCATCTCCGGGGGCCTCGCTTGTCCCGGAAATTGACATCTTTTTTTGTACCCGATTTGACACGGATCCGTCGAGTCCGACATGGATTCGACAAGGATTCGGCGCGGATAGGGCCAGCCGGTACCGACCTGCCTGTGCGTGCGACAGGGAGGAGCTAGTAAGAAGGAAAATGGATGGAGGATGAGGATGAGGATGAGGAGGAGGGGGAGGAGGAGGAGAAGGAGGAGGAGGAGGAGGCGGCGGCAACGGAGGAAGAGGAGGAGGAGGAGGCAGGGGAGGAGGCTGAGGAGAGGAGGAGGAAGAGGAAGAGGATGAGGATGATGGTGATGAGGAGGTGGGAGGGGGAGGTGGAGGAGGAGGAGGAGGAGGAGGATGAGGAGGAGGAGGAGGAGGAGAAGGAAGAGTAGGAGGCGGAGGCGGAGGAGGAGGAGGAGGAGGAGGAGGAGAAGAAGGAGGGGGAGGAGGGGGAGGCGGAGGAGGATGATGAGGTGGGGGGAGGAGGAGGAGGAGGGAGGAGTGGGGGAGAAGGAGGAGGAGGAGGACGACGAAGAGGAATAATACTAATATGTGAAGTTCTCGCAATCATATAGATAATACGAATAGTATGTATACTACTAAGAATCCGAATCGTAATACTAAGACTACAAATGACATACTAATAATGATACCAATGTGATAATAAGACGAATGATACGGATACTGACGCTACAATGAAGAACAAAACGAATACGACACCCAGAACCAAGACGAGTAACACGACGAATCCGATTAATATGAATAGTATGAAGAATCCGGCTAAGACATAATAATCGGACGGCGACGACGACGGCGTCGAATAACGAGAAGCATACTACACACTCACGGACATGATAAGACTACTAATCAGAAGCATCATAAGACGAAAACTGATACCAATAATGATAATCATACTGACACGAATACTAATGGCGATACATCGGAGGATTGAGCTACTACTCTTAATCGTAGCAAAATTAAGGAGAGGAGTACGAATCATAAGAATACTACTCAGAAGAAGAAGAGGAGGAGGAGGAGGAGGAGGAGGACGAGGACCTTCCCTCTCGCCCCCGTCGACGCCTGATCTCCAGGTGGTGGACGCCAGCCTCCGCGTCGAGACCAGCGAGGAACTCGGCTGCGAGCCCTGGGTCGCGCCGCCTGCCGGCCGCCGCCGCCGCCGCCGCCGCCGCCGCCGCCGCCGCCGTCGTCGTCGTCGTCGTCGTCGTCGTCGTCGTCGTCGTCGTCGTCGTCGTCGTCGCTGCCCGCCGTTCTTTGCGTCGATGCCGTCTCCGTCGAGGGGGGAGGAGGAGGATAGAGGAGGAGTACGAAGGAGGAGGAGGAGGAGGAGGAGGATGCGGAGGAGGAGGAGGTGGAGGATGAGGAGGAGGAGGAGGTGGAGGAGGATGAGGGGGAATTCAGGAGGCGAAGGAAGGTATGAGGTAGTAGAAAGAGGAAGGTGCAGGAGTGTCTAGTTCAAAGGGAGGGTCTTCCGGATTCAGGGGCGGCTGTGGGGCCATTGTCTCGGACGTGTGAATGGTTTCTCGGCGAGGACCATCGTGGGGCATCTCGGATCATCGAGCAAAAGAAAACACGCGTGAAACCGAAAACTGCTCGGGGATGGACGTCTTGGCGATGGCGGGTCCCAGGAGGCCTCCCCGTTCCCTCCTTCATCCTCAGCTTGTCGGGGCCCGGCTGCGCCCCGTCGGCTTGCTGATGCAGTCCAGCGCGAGCGAGCGCTGCGCTGTGCGCGGAAGAAACACACAGACACAACTAATCGTCGATTCCCTAGAAAATACAGGAAATATGGGCAGTGGGGGGGAAGACCAAAACCTGGAAAAGATTGGCAGATATGGGGAATCGTTCTATTGGCATGCATTTTCTTTGCGTGTCCCAGGGCCCCTTCAGGGTGGCTGGGGGGTACTCCAGATCTCGTAATAAAAGGGAGGGGGTCTCTGGACCCCCAAGCCAATTTCAGACCCCCCCCGTGGGAGAACCCTCCAGAAGAATCCCCCCCCCCCCCCCAACCCCCCCCCCCCCCCCCGAAAGGAGACCCCCCTCCCTTTATTACGAAATCGGGGGTATGCTTTTGGGGAGATGCCCAGCCTCGTGCAGCCCCTCCCTCGCGCACGGCAGGTTCGCACCGCGCCGACGAGGCGGCGGCGCCGGTTCGCGGCGTGCCAGGTTGGCCACCGTTCTCCTCCTCCTCCTCCTCCTCCTCCTCTTCGTCCTCCTCTTCGTCCTCCCTCTCCTCCTCCTCCTCCTCCTCCTCCTCCTCCTCCTCCTCCTCCTCCTCCTCCTCCTTCCTCCTCCTCTCCTCCTCCTCCTCCTCCTCCTCTCCTCCTCCTCTCCTTCCTCCTCCTCCTCCTCCTCCTCCTCGGAGCCCTGGTGGAGAGCCGTCATCGCTCGAGATTGACTGATCGACGCGGTGACAGACATCAGCGTGCACGTCGACGCGAGAGCTGAACGGTGCGGTCGGCCCGCAGGGTGAGGAGAGGCGTCCCTCCCAGGGGTAGCCTTGCTCAGGAGGGGAGAAAACACACAGACACAATTGATCGTCGATTCCCCAGAAAATGTGGGAAAATATGGGCAGTGGGGGGGAAGACGAAAAACCAGAACATATGGGAAAATATGGGGGATATGTTTATTTGTGTGTATTTATTTGTGTGTTCCAGTTCCCCTTCACTTGCATCCTTGCTTCCTGGGTCCATCCTTGGACGCTTTCGTTGGCCTCGCCCCGCTCGAAACGCTTCGAAATGGGCGCCCAGGGGCCCCTTGCATCCTCATCGCGCATCCTTGCTCTGCGGGTTGACTGTACACGTCGACGTGAGAGCTGAACGATCTCCTCTTACGGGCAGGAGAGCGCTCAAGACTGCTCGATCGACGTTCTGTCAGACACCAGTGTCCCCTTGGCGGCGCCGCGCTGCAGGGCATGGACCGAGGATGGCGGCAACCAAAGGCCCAGGGTTAAGTCGGGCCTGTCCCTCTACAGGGGGAAGATTCAAAAATAGCCAAAACATAGCATGTTTTGTCCATTTTGGAATATTTTTTGAGTATTTTTTATTTGTCGTCGAAAATCGGGCGGGGGACACGCCCGACTTAAGCCCAGGGGGACCTCTTAGAGGGCAGAGGGCTTCTAGGGAACCATCCTGGCCTCTTCGAAGCCTTCTCAGCAGCCTCCAGGCCCTCCCGAGAAGCTCTCTGCCTTCTCAGAAGGTCCTCGCCTTCCGAGCGGGCCGCAAGCCACCCTCGCGCCACCCCCGCGGTGCGCGCGACCTCCATACCGCCCTGGACACCGGCTCGCCCACTTGCCTGGGCTGCACCCAGCCGTGGCAACGCAGGGGCCTACCACTCAGCCCAAAAGCCTCGAGGGGAGAAAAACACAGACGCAATTCATCGTCGACTCCCAGGAACAGATTGGAAAATATGGGAAGTGGGGGGGGGGAGGAGGATAAACACCCAGAGCATCAGAGCATATAGGAGAATATGGGGCATCCTGAGTTTTGTGTCTACTTAGTTGTGTGTCCTGGGGCCCCTTTTCAGAAGCCTGATCTCCAGGCGTCGCGGCCGTTTCGGCGCGGCGCTGGCTGCCCGGGCAGTGGCGGGCAGCGCTTTGCTGCGCCCGAGGCGGTCCAGCCAAGACGGCACCCCGACCCAGGCCTTGGCGCTGGGGCGCAGCGGCGGCTGCAGCGGTCCAGTGCGCCCGCGCGGCGTGGGCCCCGCCGGAGTCGACGGATTGCCTCGGTGAGAGCTCCAGCAGGGCTCGGGCGGTGTGATTGCGAGTGTGGGCGTGCCTTGGGAGGTTCTTGCGGTTTTTCGATGTGAGAGCGATGGGCACAATGGCGATGACGAGAATGGTGGTGGTGGTGGTGGTAGTGACGACGACCACGATAACGACGACGCTGATGGTGATGGTGATGGTGATGGTGGTGATGCTGATGATGATGATGGTGATGATGTTGATGATGTTGATGATGTTGATGATGATGATGCTGGTGATGACGTTGAAGATGATGATGATGATGATGATGATGATGATGATGATGATGATGATGATGATGATGATGATGATGATGATGATGATGATGATGGTGATCGTGATGCTGATGATGATGATGATGATGATGATGATCATCATGCTGCTGCTGATGATGATTCCCCAATCCGAGCTTGTCTCTGTAGGGGTCCTAGCGGATTCATATGGTTAGGTTAGGTTTGGCGCCGATTTTCGCCGCACGCCCGGGTGCCGGGGTGTCCGGGGGTGCCCAGTGGTGACGATTTCCGCTGCACGCCCGGGTGCCCGGGGGGTGCCCGGAAATGCCCGGGTGCCGGGGTGCCCGGGTGTCCAGGTGGCTGGGCGTGCCCGGGGGTGCCCGGCGGTGCCCTATAGCCTTATAGCTTTATAGTCCAATAGCCCTATAGCCCTACATCTCTATAGCCCTATAGCTCTATAGCCCTATAGCTCAATAGCCCTATAGCCCTATAGTCTCCTAGCCCTATAGCCCTGATTGGTTTTTTTCTCCGGTATCATTATGATGATGACAATGGTTATGGTGATGATGATGACGATGATGGTGGTGATGATGATGCCGACGACGGTAACGACGACGATGGTGGTGATGGTGATGATGATGAAGATGATGATGATGAAGCTGATGGTGGTGATGATGCTGATGATGTTGATGCTGTTGATGATGCTGATGCTGATGCTGATGATGATCATGCTGCTGCTGATGATGCTTATGATGATGACAATGGATCTGGTAATGATGATGATGATGGTGGCCATGATGATGAGGACGATGATAATAATGATGATGCTGATGATGATGGGAGAACGATGATGCTGATGATGATGATTCGGATGATGACGAGGATGCCGCCGCCGATTCCGATGATGTCTTTGCTGATGCTGTTGTTGTTGTTGATGTTGATGATGCCGATGCTGATGAGAATGAGGGTAAGTCTGATGACTAGGGTGACGATGATGAGGTTGATACTGATAGTGATGATGACGATGATGAATGATGATCGTGCTGATGATGATGATGTTGATGGTGATCAATAGGATGACGATTCTGATGATGCTGATGATGATGATGATGTGGTGATGATGATGATGAGGATGATGACAATGATGCTGCTGCTGCTGATGATGATGATGATGATGATGATGATGGTGATGATGACTAACATCATGTTTGCGATGCGTATGATGTTTGTGATGCTGCTAATACTGGTGATGGTGGTGGTGATGCTGATGATGATGATGCTGATGATGATGATGGCGATATGTTGAGGAATGGCAGCATGCATGTGATGCTGATGATGATGCATATTATGGGGTGGCAGTAGTGATGCTGATGCTGCTGAACATGTTGATGCTGCTCATGGCGGTGATGGCGATGCTGAAGACTATCATGCTGACGATGCTGACGATGCTGATGATGCTGATGAGGATGCTGATGCTGGTGACGGTGGTGTTGCGGATGATTGTGATGATGGTGATATCGCCGAGGGGCGGAGCCCGCCCGCGAGCGGCCGCGGCGCAGGTCGCGGACGCCGCGGGGCGCTTCGTCCACTCGGGCGACAACCGGCGGCTCTTCGGAGGATGAAGAGGTGCCCATGCTGCTGCTTCACCGCCCTGATTTTTTTGCCTTTTTGGGCCTCCTGGGAGGCCCTCGTGGCCAGCGCTGGGTTCCCCTCGGAGTTCTGGTCAGAGCGCACCCCGGGAGAGGGCCGGGGAGTAGCGGCATCAGTACGTTTTGGCTTCCCCAGGTTCAACCACATGATCTCGACCCTGTCGCTGTCGGCGGGGCCCTCGGGAGTGCGCGGTGGCCCCAGAGGTGCCTCAAGGTTCGGGGTTCGTGCTTTCAGGCTTGAGGGGAGTGCCGACGAGTGCAGACAGCACGACGTGCTCGATGGCTGCGAGGCTCCAGAAGGTTTGGACAGCGAGGTCAGGGCACATTTATCAGACTCTGCGCAGAGCCTCTGTTCCTGTCAGGAGTGTTGCCAGGAGCCCTCAGCGTCAGGACTTGTAGCATGAAGTATCCGTTCGATGTTCCAGGTGTTCAGGCGCTTTGGGGGCGCTCTGGGTCGTCTCGTCCCCACGGCTGGATTCCGTCGAGATTCTCGTCGGACCGCACCCTTGGAGAGCCCATAGGGTCGATTCGTGAACCGCCGAGCCCATACCTTGAGCGCCATGAAGAAATCAAAGCAGATGTTTTTCGCTGTTCTCGACGTGTAGAAGTGGCCGTTCTCGTGCCCTGGGGCGGTCCACAGGGAAGGGGTCGAGGGCACTTGGGGCCGCCGGCAGACAAAGTCAAGACATCGGAGGCTCCCAGACCTTCAGCACGCGGCCTCTGGGGCTCTTGACCCCTTCCCGTCAACCAGTCTTCCGTATTGCACCGTTTTGGATGGTCCCAGACTCGAGGCCTCCCAAATAGATGGGGCCAGAGTAGATGGGGTCGGAAGATCACGCCGCATCGCCGATGTATCGGCGATGCGGTGCGATCGGGAGTCGATTTTCTCCATCCCGGCATCAACGGGGCATCGGCGGTGCGTCGGCGATGCGACGCGATCCCCCGACCCTATCTGGGAGCCTGCAAGCACAGCCCCGGGGGGTAGAAGTTGAGGGTGAACGCCAGGATTGGACAGTCGGCGGTCGACGTTCGATCAAGACCCCTGCTGTTGCCTCCCCACTCGGGGTACCAGCGGGGGGGAGGGCATGCCATGGATAGACGACTTGGCGTCCAGAGGCTCCTACCCACGCCCTCACTCCATCCACGTGGTAAAGCTCCTCGGCGTGGGCAGGGCTGTGTATAAAACGGCGATCGCCGGTCACGACTGCGACGGACGACGTCTATGGCGGCGGCGGCGGCGGCGACGACGACGACCCCAGTTTTGGAGTGGTACCCTTGTGATCTTGCTGTCTGGGCCTTTCGCCGTAGGAGCCGCCTATTTGGGGGGCGCCCCCGTGGGGCACGTGGGCCCCCGGCGAAGGGGCCCGGGTCTGGGACCTCGCTGTGCTCGCGGCTGCGCTTCGGCTGCAGGCGTCCACGCTGGTCGTTGAAAGTGGGTATTTTTTGGAAACTGGAGCATCTACATGACCAGCGGCGGGCGGTTTTTCAATTTAGGGTGGGTGTGGTGTATACTTGTTCCCGTTTTCTCGTGGAAGCAACAACACATGTATACACCAGGATTCCGTATGCATCATAATCCGTTTTTTGTGCGAATCGCAGTGCGGGACCAGAAAAACACATCGGTATATAAAGTTCGGTTCCTCATATTTGGATTCTGAGATCCCAATCTACTTCAAGCGCCTTCCTACTTCAAGAAACGATCTGCTTTTGCTTCGTTGTGTTATTCTCTGGGAGGGCCCGGACCCGACCTATGCTATCCGCCTTCCTATTTCATGTTTTTACCTACTTACCTCTTCCGACTAGCGTGTAATGGGCACCGTTTGTTTCAAGGTCGAGCTCGCTCATCAGTGTGGCCAGGTTCCGGTAGGTTCGCGTCGTGTCGGCTGGCGGCGACCCCAGCGCGACCCCAGCTCCAGGTTGAACGCCGCCCCCGGCCTAGAGTCGGCCCATCGTTGAACGCTCTGACGCTTCGGGAGCGGCCAGTCGTTCAAGACTGAACGATCCCCGCGGTGTCAGGAACCAACGCTGGGATCGTCACGACACGAACTTGCCGCAGTCACAAGGGTCAACGCCACAGGTGACGGTTACCCAGTCGCCTTCGAGCTGGCCGCAGGGGTCGGCGCCCTTGTGGGCCGAAGTTCTACCGCGCAGCTAGTTTCATTGGATTATTAGTGTCTTTTTTCGGTGACCATTTCCGAACCCTGCCTCTGCGGCTCCAGTTGACGCTGGAGTACTAGGCGCACTTGCAGGGGAGCCACCGGGCCGCAGGTATTTTTCGAATCCTGAGCTCACCGACGGCTGTTTCAATTCCAGGCTGCCCAGGTAGGAGCAAAGAAAGACGACGCCACTCGGTGCGCTGGTTTCTGGCACGACCTGGATCGCTCAGACTCGAGCGATCGGCGGCGTGTCGATCGCCAAAACGTTCCACATTGGCCGATCCGGGGCCTCGTGGCGGTGCCACGGCTGCGCCGACACGACACAGACCCGCCGTACCTCTCCAGAGCGCGACAGACTACCATCAGGAGGAGATAAAACACACAGACACAAGCAGTCGTCGATCCCCAGGAAGATATGGGAAACTATGGGAAGAGGGGGGGAAGACGAGAACCCAGAACATGTGGGAAAGTATCTGACATCCCTTGAATTGTGCTTATGTGCTGGAGAGTCTTGGAACACACGGGAGCATATGGGACATCCTGGGATTTGTGCCTGTTTGTTTGTGTGTCGTTGGGCCCCTGTTGTACCAGTCGGAGAGCTCTGCCTGGTGTCCGGCCCTGGTGACCCGAGTTCTCTGCGATATAGGAGCCAGGGAAGGGCGGCACCGCCACCAGCGCGAGTGCGCGGGGGAGGGTCCTCCCGGTGGTGCGGTCCCCCTTCTCCCGCTCGAGGCATCCCCTATCCCCAGCTCAGGGAGGGGTCGGGGAAACGTGCAATTCGAGTAAGTTGGAACTCGGGTTTGTCGATGCTTTTTGACGAGGGGGTTCTGGATTTTGACGGTTTGGTTTCCATGGGATGTTTGCAGCGGGAGTTCACGTCAAATTTCAGCTTGGGTCTCGTCATTTTCATGATGGCCCCGTCAGACCAACCCGAGGCCCCCGTACCCGAGTCTTACGTCCCCCTTTCCCGATCGAGACATCCCCCAGTCCGGCGGCAACTCATGGGAGCCTGGTATACCTTCTGAATTCCAGCTTTAGCGTCAACTAGCGTCGATTAGCGTCTGAGAGGCCATGAGATAGCGCCGATCCAGCGTCGGTTAGCGTCGAGCAGCGTCGATTCGCGTCGATTTAGCGTCGACTAGCGTCGACTCGCAAGAGCCAACAAGATGGTACTGGAGGCCCCCATGAGTTGCCACCGAACCCTATCCCCAGCTCGGGGAGGGAGGCATCGGGGACCCACTCGCTGGAGGTGGCCCCCGTGGTGACGGTGGCATCGCCCCTCCATCCTCCGACCAGGTGGGGTCGGAGGGTCGCGCCGCATCGCCGATGCATCGGCGATGTGGCTCGTTCTTTGAGCCATCACTTTCCTGCGCCAGCCAACAGCGCCGATGCCTTTTCCAGCCGATACATCTCCGAAATATCGGCGATGCGGGGCGATCTCCCGACCCCATCTACGAGGACACCATTCAGGAGTCCAGGAGGCATTCAAACTGTTTCCACGGATCGCCTGAGGGGATCTGGAACATGTCGTATATCAAATCAGCGCGGTTTCGGTGTGATCTTGCTTGCAAGCGCGTGTCTGGCGGGTCTTGCCGCATTGCGGCACATGAGCTGCGCAAAGGTCCACATGGTCAAGGACGGGTACGTCTCATTCCGTTACGCCGTCGATGCGGAGCAGGACGTGACGTGTTTTGTGTTATTTGTCGTGGCTCGTTTCTCCATGTCTGCGTGTTTGTACGGCTGGCCCGAAGTGTAAAATCGAGCTTCGGGAGCCTCGAGACGGGTGTCAATGCAAACGGGGGTCAGCCAGGGCGCCAGATTCTGCAGGATCCTGCGAAGACCCCCTCTGGCTGACCCGGGTGAGGGCGCCGCTCGTGGCCGCGAGGCGGCCGCGGTTATTGGCTGACCCGGGTCTGGGAAGCCCTGCGCTGCAGTTTTTTTGTCCTGCATTGCAGTTTTTGGTTTCCTGCTGACCCGGGTCTGGATTGACCCGGGTCAGAAGATCCCCGAGAGCTTTTTTCAGGGAGGATGCCCTAATGTTCTTTGTGTGTCGTTGGATGCTCTTTGTGTCTTTCCCGGGGAGGGCACCCGTTGGATGAGGGTACCCTCGTGCGTTGGCCGGCGGAGGGTCTCATGTTTTCGAAGGATGTTCTTCTGCTCTGGGCTCGATTGTATGTCTTGAGATAGGCGCTGGTCGGGCGGGGCTACACTCGAGGCGATGCTTAAGAAAACTTACGTCTGGCCAGAGTCTCGAGTATTCTTAACGTTTCAATGCAAATCTTAAGATTTTAGTAGACATGTTGGGTTTTTATTCAAGTTCTGAGACTATGAATTTCTTAACCCATGATTTCTAAAGCATTTCGCAGGGTGTAGGGCGAGGATCATTGCGTTCCAGAGCAGTCTGGGATCGCTCTCAGAGCGTTCTGGAACGCTCTGCGAAGGCCGCGACGCCCGATGCATCCTCCAGATCCGCCGCATCTCAGCGATTAGCCTTGTCCTGGCTTCGTTTTCCGATTGAGACCACGCAGGGGATGCTCAGGAGGGAAAAAGCAGACGGACACAATGAGTCGTCGATCCCCTAGGAAACGAGGGAAACTATGGGAAGTGCGGGGGGGGGAAGACGACAACCCCCCCAAAAATGGAACATGTGGGGAATCCTGGGATTTGTGTGCCAGGGGTGGACCTAGACTTTTGGCGATTTCGTAGGCCGTTTTCGTTTCGATTTCGTTTTGCGTTAAAGGCGGATTGGAGACAAACGAGGGAAACCAACACGAAACGAAAATGAAAAACACCGTTCAGGTTCAGCCCTGGGGAAGACGACAACCCCAGAAAAGATGGAACATGTGGGGACTCGTGGGACTGTTGTGCCAGGGCCGAACCTGAACGCTGTTTTTCGTTTTCGTTTCGTTTTCGTTATCCCTCGTCTTGTCTTCAGTCCGCCTTTGACGCGCACCGACATCGAAACGAGAACGGCCCCATTTGTCTGTGTGTCCCTGGGCCCGCGCGTGGGCAGCGCCAGGTGCCGCGCCCGGGGCCGCGGGACCGATTCGTAATTCAGGCGGCCTGTGCGCGGGCCGCGGGGCGTCCCGCCCCCTCCTCGTCCCCCCCTCCCCCCCCTCCCCTCCTCGACCGCTGCGCTCTGCCGCTGGGCTTCTTCGCGGGGTAGAACAAGTGCCCCTGGGCCCGCGCTGGCCTCAGGAGGAGGAGGAGGAGGAGGAGGAGGAGGAGGAGGAGGAGGAGGAGGAGGAGCAGGGAGGCCCGCGGCCCCCGGGGGGCCTCCTCCGGCCCCGCTTTTCGGGCCCGCCTCCTTGGGGGCAGCCGCCGGAGGTGCGGTCGGACCGAGGCGTGCAACATGTCGTCGGGCAGTGGCGAGGCGTCCCGGCTCGGCGGGCGCGGGAAGACGCGCTGAGGCGCCCTCCTCCCCCCCTCCTCCTCCTCTCCTCCTCCTCCTCCTCCTCTTCCTCCTCCTCCTCCTCCTCCTCCTCAATCCCATCAGCTTTAAGTCGGGCGTGTCCCCCTACAGGGGGATTTTTAACCAACAATTCAAAAAATACCCTAAGAATACCTTAAATTGGCCAAGGAATATCCAAAAAATAGTCCCCAGACTAATTGTGGACTATTTTTTGATTAATGTTGGGGTATTTTGCGTTTTTCGTCGAAAGTCCCTCTGTAGGGGGACACGCCCGACTTAACTATAGCCCTACGAAACAATGTTCTGAGAACCTCTCGTGGTTCCCACGGAATGTCCTCAGAACACTTTTCTGGTTGAAGTTGTCTCGTTTTTACGCACGGGGTGCATGTTCTGAGAGCATGGTGTTTGTTCTTGGAGCACTTGTGGGTTCTAGGAACATTTCGTGTAGGACTATAGGAATGCCGAGACGGTCGGACCGAGGCATAAAAAATCGAGGCCGGTTCGGGGGGGCACCCTGATGTTTGGGAGGTTTGAGACTCGGAGGTTGGTCGACCTCCTACCCTGACACGTCGATTCAGGAATTCGCCGTTTTCGGTTCGCGAGGGGGCATCGCGGCCGTCATTTCTGCGGATCCAGGTCCGTCGGTTTCGGTCCTAGGCCGTTTTCACTAAGGGGAGGTTTGCTAAAGGGAGGTTTGTCCACCGCCGAGAGACGGGTGTCAGTGCAAACGGGGGTTAGCCAGAGCGCCGGATCTTACAGGATCCTGCAGAGGCCAGGGTCGCACTGACCCGGGTCTGGGTGCAGGGTCCTGCAGGATCTTGCAGGATCCTTCTCATTGACCCAGGTTTGGGTGCAGGATTTTGCAGGATACTGACCCGGGTCAGGATCGACCCGCGTCAGAAGATCTCCGAGACGTTATGTGAGTCGTGTCCCTCTACAAGGGGGATATTCTTACATATCAAAACATAGTCTGCGGACGTTTGTTCGAGTATGTTTGAATATTTGTTTGGCGGTATCTTTGATGTTTTGTCCAACATCCCCTGTAGGGGGGCATGCCCGACCGAACCCTGATGCTATTCGTGTTTGTTAGGTGTTATTGTGCATCGTGGGGGAGGTCTTGAAGAAGAGAAAACGTTATATAGGTACACATTTTGCGCTCCGCGCGGGATTCTTGGATCCGCGCTGGGCTCCCCTCCTGGCGGCGCCTCGGGCGCCGCCCCTGGCGCGCTCCTCCCGCCAGGGAGGGGGGGGCCCAGCGCAGATCAAAGAAATCCACGCGGAGTGCCAACAGTTTATGTGTATACCGTCTTTCTTTGTGTTCCTTCTTCTACTGATGTTCTTCGTGTTTGTTGGCTGTTCTTGTGCTTCGTGTGGGGGGGGCACCTTCAGATGGTTTTTAGGTTTGGACCAGAAGGGTCTCATGTTCTTGGAGGATGCTTTTCTGGCCTGGGTCCAGCTGTAGGGAATTTCTGCCCGCCCATATCTGCTCGTGGCCACATAGACGTTCGGCGGCGAGCGATGAGGGGAAGTCAGAACGAGCAGGCCTTCTCAGGAGGCAGCCTTCTGAGAGGTTTCCTGTCTTCGTGGAGGGCACAGGCAATCTCTCGGACGGCTGGGGGACTTCCGAGCCTTCGGAGAAGGCCCGCCCCTTCTCACTTCCCCCCCATACTCGCCGCCGACGAAGATCGAATGTGCTGCCACCTCTCCCTCTGCGCAAGGCCGCGGAGGGCCGGCGAAGGGCGGCGGAAGTGCAACAAAAGAGCGCCTTCGCCGGCGGAGGGCGGGCGGAGGGCGGGCGGAAGCCGGCGGAAGTAAAACCATGTACTCCAAGTAAAAACAGACACAACTAATCGTCGATTCCCCAGAAAATACGGGAAATATGGGCAGCGGGGGGGAAGACCAAAACCTGGAAAAGATGGGCAGATATGGGGAATCGTTCTATTGGCATGCATTTTCTTTGCGTGTCCCAGGGCCCCTTCAGGGTGGCTGGGGGGTACTCCAGATCTCGTAATGAAAGGGAGGGGGTCTGGACCCTCCAAGACGAGCCATTTCAGACCCCCCCCCCGTGGGATAGCCCTCCAAAACGTCGCCCCCAGACCCCCCCCCAGGCCCTCGAAGATAGCCCGGAAGAGACCCCCCCCCGAAATGAGACCCCCCTCCCTTTGTTACGAAATCTGGAGTACCCCCAAGAGATGACAACCATTTTGGGTTCAGGGTTCCCGGAACCCGCCGCATCTGAGTGAAATTGGTAGCCCTGGCAGTCGCCACCCACCGAACCACCCCGACCCAACCCAGAGGCCCCAATTTGCCCTCCATTCCCGGCGGGGGGCGGCGCTGGGGAACGAAACGCCACACATGGAGCCTGTACCGGAATTGGGGTTAGGTTGGGGTGGTCTGGTAGGTAGCCCTTGTAGCTGCGAGTGTTGGCGGTGCCCATCGCTTGGGGTGGAGTCCGCCAGTAGAGTGCCCCCTCCCCGATCAGACGGTAGAACAAATATGGCCTTGCTGTGTGCCAGAGGAGAGAAAGTCCCCTCCTCCTTTGCCCCTGTCTGGGGCCTCCCGGGAGGCCCTCGTCGCCACCGCCGTTTTCACCTCGAAATGCCGGTCAGAACGCACCCTGGGAGAGGTCCTGGGAGTAGCGGTGTCGGTAATGGAGGGAAGCGATTTAAAAAATCGCCCCCACCCGGACCCCCCAAAATGATTGAGCGTGGCGGACTCATAGAATTCAGCCGCCGGAAACTGTTTTTGTTAATCTTCCGCCCCTCGGCGTTTGCTTTTGCCCCTTTGGGGGATTGGATTTTCTATTCGTCCTCCTTCGCTCGCTTGATCACCCGCGGCCGCGGCGCGGCGACGAGGAGGAAAGGGAGGCGAGACAGCGAGAGGGCCGCCCTCGTCCTTGCGGACAGGGGGGGGGGAGAGGAGGACGAACAGGAGGAGAACGAGGAGGAAGCGGAGAAAAAGGAGGAGGAGGAGGAGGAGGAGGAGGAGGAGGAGGAGGAGGAGGAGGAGGAGGAGGAGGAGGAGGAGGAGGAGGTGGAGGACGAGGACGAGGACGAGGAGGAAAAGGACGAGGAGGAGGAGGAGGAGGAGGAGGAGGAGGAAAAGGAGGACAAGGAGGAGGAGGACGAGGAGGAGGAGGAAGAGGAGGAGGAGGAGGACGAGGAGGAGGCGGAGGAGGAGGAGGACACGAGCTCGCCCTGAAAAATCACCCCGTCCACCCCCCTGGTTCCCGCGCCCTGGATCGCCACCCCGTGCTCCCCCCCCCTGGCCTTCCAGCCGCCCCGTGCTCCGGAATTGTCAGCCCCCCGTCTGCCCGCCCTGCCCCCCCACTATTGCGGGGGCGAGGAGGCCCGCGATTTTTTTTTTTTTTTTTTTTTTTTTTTTTTTTTTTTTTTATCGTCCGCCCCAGAACGTTTTTTTATCGTTTCCCTTCATTACCTCTTGGTTTCTCCAAGAGTGCCCCCCCGTGATCAGACGGAAGAACAACGATGGCCTTGCTGTGTGTCTCATCATCTCCTCGTCCTCCATTGTTCCTGCTTTCTCTCTGTCAGCCATCCTCTTCCGTTCGGTGGCAAAAACCGCACCTTGCCCTCGCCGATCAACGATTCAGGCAACTCGACGGGCGGCGGGGTTACGATTCGGAATTCGTCGAACACGTGGCGAAATCCGAATCGTACCCCCCCCCCCCCATCGATTCAGGAGAATCGATGGTTGGTGGGGGTAGGGTTCGGATGTCGCCTCCCAGCCGTGCCTTTCCTTTCGCACTGGCTGGCTGGCCGCTTCCAGCCGCCGTGCGTCCTCGCGTCTTCGTGCGCGCAGCCGTCCGCAGGCAGCCCACCAGCTGAGGTTGCGGTCGACGACAGTGCCGATTATTCGATTACAGTTGACCGCAGAGTAAGTATAGGCATCCCTCCCAAGGGTACCCTTGCATCCTTGCTTCCTGGGTCCATCCTTGGACACTTTCGTTGGCCGCGCCCCGTTCGAAGAGCTTCGGATTGGGCGTCCAATGCCCTTGCATCCTTATCGCGCACCCTTACTCTGCGGGTTGACTGTACGGCGGGTGGCAATCTTGAGTCGGGCACGTCTTTCTTACAGGGGGAATAATCAAACATAGTCAGATGTCGAATCTTTTGTTACCATTTTGCAACTTTCGCGAAACAAATGCCTGTAGGAGGACATGCCCGACCTAATGGTAATTCACGGTTACCTCATGGCGGGGTGACGAAAATTACCCAAAAGAGCCTTCTTACGGCTTGAGCGGCCTTTTAGAGCCCTTTCAGAGTCCCTTTTACGGCCCTTTTATTCACCCCCGATTCATTAGGTCACCCCCCATGCCCACCCGCCCGAAATTACTCGATTCTGTAATTCTTTACGCTTCGCGTATCCCCACCAGCCCATCTCACAACAGCAACTCTTGCGAAGCATGCCGACAGTCGTGTTTTTCAGGCGTGTGTCCGCTTGGCCTCGCATATCTCCCCTGTTACTCCTTCCTCTCGCCTCCTTGTACATCCTCCTTGTGGGGGGAGCGGGAGAAGGACGAGGCGGAGGAGGAGGGAGAGAAAACGCTCCTCGTGGTTTGAGTCGTTTGGGGTTTCTCGTCCTGGTGTGAGTCGTTCGGGCCCTTCTTCCTGGTGTGAGTCGTTCGGGCTCTTCGTGGTGTGAGTCGTTCGGGCTCTTCGTCCTGGTGTGAGTCGTTCGGGCTTCTCGTGGTGTGAGTTGTTCGGGCCCCTCGTCCTGGTGTGAGTCGTTCGGGCCCCTCCTCCTGGTGTGACTCGTTCGGGCTCCTCGTGGTGTGAGTCGTTCGGGGCCCTCGTCGTGGTGTGAGTCGTTCGGGCTCCTCGTGGTGTGAGTCGTTCGGGGCCCTCGTCGTGGTGTGAGTCGTTCGGGCTCTTCGTGGTGTGAGTCGTTCGGGCCCCTCGTCCTGGTGTGAGTCGTTCGGGCTCCTCGTGGGGCCTCTTGGGGGCCTCTTGGAGCCTCATGGGGCCTCTTGGGGGCCTCTTGGGGGCCTCTTGGGGGCCTCTTGGGGGCCTCTTGGGGCCTCTTGGGGCCTCTTGGGGGCCTCTTGGGGGCCTTTTGGGGACCTCTTGGGGCCTCTTGGGGGCCTCTTGGGGGCCTCTTGGAGGCCTCTTGGGAGCCTCCTGGGGGCCATCTTGGGGCCTCTTGCGACCTCCTCAGAACGCAAATGAGCGCTACCCCCTGAGAGGCACAAAATGAGCCCAAAACCTTTGTAACATCAATGATGTTGCTATCAAGGAAGAGGAGCGCTGCCCCCTCAGAAGGCCCAAATGGGGCCAAAACCGTAGTAAAATCAATGATTTTGGCTTCACAGAAGAGGAGAGGGTTTTTTCTCCCTCCCCCCGTCGGGGCCAGAATCCTCGTGAGGGGTGTCGTTTTTTAGCCCTCCCAGGAGTCGAAGAAGACCCCTCCAACGACCCGCGGGCCGCCCTCTCCAGGCCCAGGGGGAGGGGGTAGGGGGAGGGGTAAACCCCTCCCCGAAGGGGAAGAAGGGGGGTTGAGAACAGAGAGAGCTACCTAAACCACTCACGCCCAAAGGGCTGGTGGGATTATGCGCGCAGTTGGTCGCAGGCAGCCCAGCCAGTCTTGGCCGTTGTCGTTCACGCAGCCCTTCGGACATTCTGACGTATGGTTCCGCACTCACTTCTAGACAAGAACCGACAGGCGAGCCCTGACAAACGGAATGATCGCCGTGGTGGTGGTCATCCTTCCCGTCTTCCTCGAGTCGTCGTCGTCGCCGTCGTCGCCGTCGCCTCCGTCGTCGTCGTCGTTGTCGTCGTCGTCGTCGTCGTATTCGTCGTCGTATTCGTCGTCGTCTCCATTGCCGTCTGACCAAGAGCCGCTCCAGACAAGTGCCGGCCTCCCTCCCCGGGTCCATTCTGGCCAATATTTGTAGTCGCGCCCGGCCGTGGCGATGGGAAGCTCCAGGGTCGGGTTGGACGAGAGCGGGAGACAGGGAAAGGGGGGGGGTCGGAATCCAGCAGGTTTTCGGCCCCGCTGGGCGCCTGTGCCGACAGAAGGCGCTGGGAAAGCTGGCCACGCGAGCTGCTTTTTTTTATAGCGTTCCCGTTCGTCCGACCTGGCAGGGGTGCCCCAAGAGAACGAAGCGAAGTCACCCGCCGCCGAGGAGTTCGACGGCTTCTCCTTCGAGGTGGACTGGAACACCGTCCTCGAGAAGGCCTCCCCCCCCGCGGTGACGGAGTGTCTGCGCCGGACCTCCCCCTCTTGCTGTGCGTCCTCGGGCGTCACCGCCCTTCTCCTCGACTGAAGCTGATGATGCTGATGGTGGTGGTGATGATGATGATGGTGTTGCTGATGGTAGTTTATGCTGATCATGATGAAGATGGTGCTGATGATGTTTGTTGCTGGTGATGACCATGATGACCATAATGGTGTTGAGGATGCTGCTGAAGACGATGGTGATACTGATGATCATGGTGCTGAAGGTGTTGCTGGTGACGACAGCGTTGATGATGGTTGTGATGATTGTGATGGTAATGCTGATGTCGATGCTCATGATTAGAAGGATGAAGTTTATAATGAGGATTATGATGAGGATGCTAATGAGGATGATGATGCGAATGATGATGATGCTGATTCGGATGCTGATGATGATGCTGCTAATACAGATGCTGATGATGATGTTGATGATGCTGCTGCTGATGACCATGCTGCTGCTGATAATGATGATGGTGATGATGATGATGATGACGATGATGTAAGCGATTATGCTGATGTTGACGATGATGCTGATGATGAGGATGATGATGATGATGATGATGATGATGATGATGATGATGATGATGCTGATGTTTGGGAGATGATGCAACATACTGATAGTGAGACTGGTGATGATGCTGGTGATGGTGCTGCTGATGATGACGATGGTGATGGCTACGATGCTGATGCTGATGCTGATGCTGATCCAGATGATGACCATGATGCTGATGCTGATGCTGATGCTGATGATGATGATGATGTTGATGATGATGATGATGATGATCATGATGATGATGATGATGATGATGATGATGATGATGATGATGATGATGGTGTTGCTGCTGATGATGATGATGATGAGGATTTAAATGATGATGATGCTGATGATTAAGTTGATGCTGCTGATGATGATGATGCTTATGCTGATGCGGTTGCTGATCATGCTCATGAAGCTTATACTGAGGAGCAGCAGCTGGAGGGTGAGGATTATGGTGATGCTGCTGCTGATGAGGCTGATGCTGATGATGCTGATCATGATGATGGTGCTGCTGATTATGATGTTGATGATGATGCTGATGCTGATGATGTTGATGCTGTTGATGATTATGATGATGATGATGATGATGATGATGATGATGATGATGATGATGATCTTGCTGATGCTCATGCTGATGCTGAGGCTGATGCTGATGCTGATGCTGAGGATGAGGAGTAGGCTGGAGGATTTGGATGGGCAGAAGTATGAGGAAGATGGAGAGGAGGAGGAGTCGGAGGAACGGGGCGAGGATGATGAGGATGAGGATGCTCAGGTCCAGGATGCAGATGTTGCTGATTGTGAGGCTTGTGTTGTTGATGATTATGATGATGATGATAAGGTTGTGGTTGATGATGATTCTGGTACGACGGGCAGTGCACAGCCTGCATGATAATGACGATGCTGATTATGCTGCTGATGGTGGTGATGGTTTGTTGCGATGATAGTCATGGTAGTGATGGTGATGGTGATGATGGTGATTGTGGTCGTGATGGTGATTGTGAAGATGATTGTGGTGGGGGGCGCTGGTGGTGGGGTCGCGATCGCGATCTCGCGGCCGTGTTGAGACGCGCCCTTGGCAGGGCGAAGGCCACGATGGCCGATGCAGCCACTCGACAGGTTGTTTCTCTTTTGCCAGCGTGTGAGTCCACGCGGCGCTGGCCGAGCAAGAGAACCATGTGTGAGTATGTGGACGGGCGCATGCTAGGTGCACTGAGATGCAGCCATCACGAGCAATATGACGGCGAGGATTTTTCTCGATCTATCGATGAGGATTTTGCAGTGCGGTTGCAGGTTCATCGTGGTAATGATTGGCTGGATCTTGCCACGTTCCACGACGCAACGCAATGGGTTGGCGGAGGTTAGCCCAAGCCGCGCTCCGGATGCATTTCCCAGCTGACGTGCTCGGGCTGGAGCTGAAGCGGTATATGGCGGCGAGGTGTCTACGGCATTTTGGCGCATATTCTCAGCCATTCATTGTTTGGCGCTCGATCGTGCAAGGTTTGCGCGTCGGCGCGCGGTTCGCCAGGTGCACCGCGCGACGCGCGTTCGTTATTGCCCTCGCCAAGCTTTGTCCCCACCCGCTATCACCTCCTCCTGCCCTGCCCCTCCTCTCTCCCCCTCCTCCTCCTTCATCCTCCTCTCCTCCTCCTCCTCCTCCTCCTCCTCCTCCCCCCCCTCCCCCTCCTCCTCCCCTCCTCCCCCTCCTCCTCCCTCCTCTCCTCCTCCTCCCCTCCTCTCCTCCTCCTCCTCCTCCTCCTCCTCCTCCTCCTCCTCCTCCTCCTCTTTCTCCTCCTCCTCCCCCTCCTCCTCCCCCTCCTCGTCCTGGCCGCGTCGTCTCATGGAGCCTCTCTGGCCCCAACCCAAGGCCCAGCCGCCCCGCCGGGCCGCCCGAGGCTCAGCGCCTCGCCTCTCGCCGCGCGCGGCCCCCCGCGGCGCGGGGGGCGCCCGCCGCCCTCGGGGTCGGCGGGGGCCCCGCCACCCTCGGGGTCGGCGGGGACGTGTACGGGCCACGGACGTCCGAGCGATGGCTTTGGGCCTGCGCTGCACCGCCTGGGGCAGCGAGGGCCGGGGTCATGGGTCCTGACTGTTTTCAGTCGGGGAGGGGGAGGAGGAGGAGGAGGAGGAGGAGGAGGAGGAGGAGGAGGAGGAGGAGGAGGAGGAGGAGGAGGAGGAGGAGGAGGAGGAGGATGAGGAGGAGGGGGGGGGAGGAGAGGAGGAGGAGGAGGAGGAGGAGGAGGAGGAGGAGGAGGAGGAGGAGGAGGAGGAGGAGGAGGAGCAGGAGTAGGAGGAGGAGGGGGCCCTCCAATTTCTCTGATGCAGTATGGGTCCGAGAGGCCTGGGCTCATCTTCTGCTGGGGTCATCCCCCTCCGGCCCCCTCCTCCTCCCCCCTCCAGCTCCTCCCACCCTCCTCCCTCCCCGACGCCCTCCTCGAGCCCCTCGGTCGTCCTCCTCGGCCACCCTCCTCCCTCCTCCCTCCTTCCTCCCCGACGCCCCTCCTCGAGCCCCTCCTCCCTCCTCCCTCCTTCCTCCCCGACGCCCCTCCTTCCACCCTCCTCCTCGTCCTCCACCTCCCTCCTTCCTCCCCGACGCCCCTCCTCGAGCCTCCCTCCTCCCTCCTCTGCCTTCCGCTCGTTGGGTCCATCCTGGGTCCCAGCCGTGGGGTGCCGTCCACGGCCGCCTCGGGGGAAGCCCGGGGTCGAGGACACGTTTCTACCAGGACCCCTTGCTTCCGCATGCCCGACGCAGGAGGATCGGAGGGTCTGGCAGTTTTTCAAGGTCTTGCTTGGCGTTTTCTGAGGTTCTCGTCGCTGCGACCGGGCGGGGCCAAACAAAAACTGGCCATGGTTGTGCCCTGGACGCTGGAGGGTTCTGAGGATCGATTCTGGGCGGGTTTTCGTTGGGGAGTCGCCAGATCGGCAATATGTGCAGAGACTACCACGGGCATCACCGCCGTCTTCGTCGTCGTCGTCGTCGGCATCGGCGTGCTGGCATCGGTGTCGGCCTCGCCTCGGGCGACATCGCCGACGACGATGCCGACGACAACGACAAGGACAACGAACTCGACGAGCGGCGGCGCGTCGGCGGCCAGATCTCCCAGCAGAAGACCTACGCAGACTACCGCGTCAACCTGACGAAGGGTGCCTGGCCTCCTTGTTGTTTTCGCTCGCCGCGAGAAGGAGCTGTGAAGTGGAGGGAGAGGGAGAGTGCGGAGGAAACGGGAAAGGGAGAGGTTGCAGGAGGAGGAGGGAAGGAGGGAGGGAGGGAGAAAGGGAGGGAGGGAGGCAGGGTGGGAGGGAGGGAGGAGGATGATGAGGAGGAGGAGGAGGAGGATCGAGGAACGGAGAGGTAGGAGGGAGGAGGGAGGAGGGAGGAGGGAGGAAGGCCGTGGAAGAGGGAGGACGAGGAGGAGGAGGAGGAGGAGGAGGACGAGGAAGAGGAAGAGGAGGATGAGGAGGAAGAGTAGGAGGGAGTAGGAGGAGGATGAGGAGGAAGAGTAGAGAGGAGGGAGGCGGGCGGGAGGAGGAGGAGGGAGGAGAGGGGAGGGAGGAGGGACGAGGGAGGAGGGTGGAAGGTGGAGGGTGGAGGGGTGGAGGGTGGAGGAGGGTGGAGGAGGAGGAGGAGGAGAGGCTGTGGTGTCATAGACTCTGTGGCGCCTCAGGTTGTGCGCAGGAGGAGGAAGAGGAAGGGGAGGAGGAGGAGTAGGAGGAGGAGGAGAGAGGAGGAGGAGGAGGAGGAGGTCGAGGGGGAGGAGGAGGAGGAGGAGGTGGAGGAGGAGGAGGAGGAGAGGAGGAATACTAATAATAGTATGAAGAATCTGAAGAAGGCGAGTAGGAGGAAAAGAAAGAGGAGGAGGAGGAGGAAGAGGAGGAGGAGGAGGAGGAGGAGAAGGAGGCGGAGGCGGAGGCGGAGGCGGAGGCGGAGGCGGAGGAGGAGGATGAGGAGGATGAGGATGAGGATGAGGATGAGGATGAGGATAATGCAGGATGGATCCCAAATAGATATTAACCTGGGTTTATAATGTTCCGGGATTATTGACCAGGGTTATTAATGCCTCCCCCGGAACATTATGAACCTGGGATTTAATGTTCCGGAAATATTGATTGGGGTTCATAATGTTCCCCCCCGGAACATTATGAACCTTGGTTTATAATGTTCTGGGCCTACCGATCCCAAAAAGATGTCACCCTGGGTTTATACTGTTCTGGGAATAATGACCAGGATTCATAATAGCCCAGGAATGATGAACCCGGTTTTTGTAATTCCGGAAGGATCATACTTTGTTTATTTCCCCCCCGACGCCCGGGTGCCGCACCAGGTTTTTCATGTTGGAATATTGATCCAGGTTCATTATCTGCAGGAGATAATAAACCTGGTTTCATAATGTTTCAGGAATATTGACCCCGGGTTATTTTGGAACGATAATGATTCAGCCGGGGGGGTGTTGGAGAGTAGTGACCAGATTGAAATTAACCGTTGTCCATAATGTTGGAATAATAATCTTCGGTTGATTATTCCGGAAAGATAATGATTCAACCGGGGGGGGGGGGCTCAGCCTGATCCATCCACAGGACAATAAACCACAGGGTATCATCTGCTGATAATGAACCACGGTCGACGATGATTTCGCACCTGCCCTCGGATGATGATGATGATGATGATGATGATGATGATGATGATGATGATGAGGAGGATGAGGATAATGAGTTTGATGCTGATGATGATGATGAGGAGGAGGAGGATGAGGAAGAGGAGGACGAGGAGGAGTAGGAGGAGGATGAGGAACGGCAGGAGGAGGATGAACGGCAGGAGGAGGAGGAGGAGGCGGAGGATAACAATATACTGAACAGGACAAGCGGCAGGAGGCAGAAGATGAGGAGGAGGAGGAGGAGGAGGAGGAGGAGGAGGAGGAGGGTGGGGTGGAGGAGAAAGAGGAGGATGAGGAGGAGGAGGAGGAGGAGGTGGTGGGGGATTTCAATATAATGGAAATGGAAAGCGGCAGGAGGATACATATCAGGAGGAGGAGGAGAGGGGGAGGAGGGGGAGGAGGTGGAGAGCATGGCACATATTTCTGGGACGAGGGGAAAGGAGGTCGAGGAGGAGGAGATGGAGAGTGGAGGAGGAGGAGGAGGAGGAGGAGGAGGAGGTGGAGGGGGACACCGAGGAGGAAGTGTTACGGGAGGAGGAGGAGGAGGAGGAGGAGGAGGAGGAGGAGGAGGAGGAGGAGGAGGAGGAGGAGGGGGAGGGGGAGGAGGGGGAGGAGGAGGATGTGCTGCGGGAGGAGGAGGAGGCGCTTTCATTCCATTGAGCTCCTGCAGGAGCAACGACGACTCAGTCAGGTCAGCCCCTGGCTGCCGCTCGCCGATGGCCCCTAGTTTCGTTCGTGATCCTTGGGTGCGTAAGCCGTCAGGCGGGCCACAGCAGTGGTACGGTGGCGGCGGGGGGCTCAGCAAAGCCCCTTGCCCAAACTGCGGCTGCAAGAAAAGCAAGGCGCACTTGTGGTTCTGTACGCACTGTCTGCAGCCTTTGTCCTTCGTGGCTCCGTCAGCCCCTCCTGCGGCCTCGGGCGCCTGGGCCAACAGGCCCCCCATCGGTGCGCTCTACGCCCTGGGCGACGGCGGCTCCGCGGGTACAGGCGGCACCCAGAGCTCCAAGGGCGGCAAGGGCGGCAAGGCTGGCAAGGGCAAAGGCACGGGACGCGCTGACGGCCAGCCTGCAGCTCCTCAGCCGCCTGGCCCAGGCAAGCCAGCGCCTGAGCCCAGGACGCCTGGCCTCCAGCTGGGCGAATCGGGGTGGCTCCGCTCGGCTTCCACCCACTCCTGGACCAACTATTCCAAGGACGACGTGCCAGTCTTGCTCAGCCTGGCCGCCAATTCCAGCGCATCGGCGACACGTGTGTACACCAGCTATGCCAGCCAGCTGCAGCTGGCGTCTGTGCCCAAGCCCCAGACGGTGGGGGCAGCCCAACATGCCATGCGGGAGTCTAAGAAGTCCTTGGATAAGACAGCTCGTGCAGCTGAGCCCCTCAAACAACAGCTCCACGATGCGGAGCAGGCAGCAATCAACGCCCTGGAGTGCCAAGCCAATTGCCACAAGGCAGCGCGATGCTTTGCCGAACATGTGCCCCCAGAGGGCTCTGGCGCGGCGGCTGCCCCAGCAGCCGCGCCCCGCGCCCGCGGCCTCAGCCTCGAGCGCCTGCTGGAGAGCACCCACCAGTGGAGATCTTCGCTGACGATGACCTCTTCGGGCTGGAGGCGGAGGGCGTGGAACTCTCTGAGCACGAGCGTGAAGAGGTTGCACGGCGCAAGGCCGAGGTGGAGGGCACCATCAAGCTGGCTGTCGCATATTCCTTCGGCCAGGTCAAGCAGAGGGCCAAGGAGTTGGTCGAAGAGCAGCGTGCCTTCCCCCGCATGCCGCTCAAGCGCCGCAAGGTCGGCGATGACGAGGAGGGCGGCCGATATGCAGCTGGTGGCGGTGCGCCTGCCACTCCAGGCGCGGCAGCGGCAGCAGCCCCTGCGGCGGCAGAAGCCCCCGCGCCCCCACCTGCTGCTGCCCCTGGCCCGAAGACGCCCTCGGCCCCTTCGGCAGCTGCTGTGGCCCAGGCCAGCGGCGTCGCCCAGGATTCGGCCGCCGAGCGACGCCCTGTGGATGCTCATGGTTCGGCAGAGCACAGGAAGCGGCTCGACATGGCCCTCGCAGCCTCAAGAAATTCAGTCGAACCTGGTCATTCGCAGCCAGGTCTTTAGCAGCCCTCGGCCATGGGCGTCTACGTCTGGGACTTCGAATTCGACCTCCTCGACTTGGTCGCCACGCTCGCCTGCCATGGGACCGCTGGGACACTCCCTAGACGAAGCCCTGGGTAGGCCAGCGTCCCCGCGGCGCTGGGGCCGCCTAGCGGGCCCCTGGGGGTGGGAATCGGCGCGAGTATGGCAGGCAGAGGGCGCCGCACGTTCGCGGTACGGCTTGCCTCGCGATATTTCATCCACGTGGACTACCACACTAGGTTGGGGACAGCCCGAAACCGCCTTGAGCTTGCCCAGCAGCACGTGGACGACTTCTGCATCTACGTTCGCTCCGAGTCGCCAACCTGAGCAGCAACCCCGCCATCGTGTCCAGTCGCCGTCGACGGGTGCGGCGCAACCACCAGCAACTTCGCAGAGCGTGTCATCGTCGGCGTCGCCAGCTTCTGCCTGCGCTGGCCTCCGTCCCGCTGGTGAGACTGGGGGCGCGTGCGAGCAGGATGCCAGCGCGCCTTGTGTTTCAGCAAACCCCATCCTTCCCTCCTCGTCCGAGTTGAAGCGCGTGGTGTTTGTCACGGCCTATACTACATCCTGGGGGCCCCTCAAACCTACATGCAGGACGGGGCCCAGGGGGCCACCGTTTTCCTCCAGGACTTCTGCTTCGGGGAGCCGCCGTGCGAGGGGGTCAGCCAGCTGAAGAACATCGGGTGGAAATCTATCGTCAGTCCCAGCATCCCCACCCTGGGGGGGGGGTCTCAGTAGTGGTACAGGGATCGCGGTCCGACCTCACATCCCTCTTGGAGCTTTGCCTCTCGCTCGTCCCCTTCCTCAGCCTGAGCGAGTTTGCTCTGCATGGGTCAACGCCTTTGTCCCTGGAGGTCTGGCTTTCTTTTCGCTCTACTTGGGTAGCAATGATCCGCTAGGCCTCGACTCGTTCAAGATTTTGAACCGAATAGGTGAAGAGATCCATCAGCTGCAGACCCCGTTCATCATAGGAGGGAGCTGGAATACTCACCCAATGGAGCTGCTCAACACTGGTTGGGTCGACCGTCTTAGAGGCGCTATCCTGCGTCCCAGTCGACCCACTTGCCGTAAGTCGGATAAGCAGTGAAGGCCATCGATTTCTTTGTTGTCTCGCGAGGCCTCGAGACCGCCATGAGACGGATCGATCGTAATGAAGCGAGCACCACCTCGCCCCATTATGCTGCGTCGTTGAAGCTTGAGGGCAACCCATTGGAGGCCAAGGTCAATGTCCTGCAGGGGCCCAAGCCTTTCCCCAAGGAGCGCCCCATGGGTCCATGCCCTCCGGCTCCGCCTTGGACTCCCTGCAACGACATCCTCGACGTGCCCCAGGTGGCCCCCTGCGACCTGGACCAGGCTTGCGTTCAGTTTTGCAAGCTTTTCGAGGCTGAGCTCAAGGGTGCCCGCAACATCGATTTCCAGGGCCGCTGGTGTTCTAGCAGGGCCTACGGGCTCAATCTCAAGGAGGTTTCATCTGCACGGACGTCTGGAGGTGATTACCGGGTGTCGTGTCCTGAAGGTCGTGCCTGGAGGAAGGTGGCTACTTGGTTACTGGAGTTGGCGTGCCTGCTTAGGAAGGACCGTCCCAGGAACCGCCCCGAGATCCTCTCGCTGGGCCTCCCAGTTGGCCTCGGGCCCTCAGAAGCTCCTCGAGAACCCAGAGTGGAAGCACTTGCGCGCGCACTTCCAGCTTAGCACGATAGAGGTTAACCAGCTGTTGCAGTTTGCCGCCGCGTCCAAGCGCCAGGCTGAGCTGTTCGAGCGGCGCTTCCGCACCAAGAGGGCCAATCAGTGGCGGACCTGGGTTGCGAAATCCCTTGAGGGAGGAGGGGGCCTGGCGCATCGGTTCATCAAGAAGCCTCGTGTGTTCATCCCCGACAGCCCCAAGGGGGGCCCCTCCACCCAGCCTGGAGGAGCAGATGAGTTGCATGGAAGAAGCAAGGAGGAAGATCTGGATCCCACCCCCCCACGTCGCCAACCTGCCTGACCCCGTCCAGTACCTCAGCCAAGTTATTTTTCGGTCAGGTGAACAGCCTCTCGCTCAGGCGTCTCCGGAGGACATCCGCGCCTCTGCCAGGGCCTTCAAGGCGCGCGCGGCCGCAGGGGCAGATCGCAGCAGGCCGCGCGACTTTTTGCTGTTATCAGACGAAGGTTTGCAGAGCTTGGCGTGAATCTGGTTTCGCATGGAGCGCCTTGGCCACATACCTGCCCCCCTCCATGGCATTCCGCTCGCTATGATCCCCCGTGGTGACGGGGGTTGTCGACCCATCGGAGTGCTACCGGGGAACATTCGTATATTCGGGAGGCTTTCTTGTTCCGAGGCCAAGAGATGGGAAGAAGCTCACCCTCGATCGTATTTGTTCGGCAGCAAGGGCAGGTCGTGCGAGCGGGCAATTCGGGGGCGATCCGTTCGACCCGAGCATGCGCGCATTTGCAAGCATCAATCGGCCCACGCGCTCGTCGACATGACCAAATGTAATGAAAAAGTCGCCCCGCTACCTCCTCGCGCGCTCTGGGGTCAAGCACGGCTTCCGAGCGCATCGGCTTAGGTTCCTGTTCGCACTGTATCGTGGCAAGCGTTCGCTGCAGTTCGACATGCGAGTGTCTGCTGATATTTTCGTCGAGCAAGGGATCCTCGCGGGGTGCTCCTTCGCCACCAGTCTCCTATTTTGTTTTTTTGCTGGATGTGTTGGACGACGCAGTCCGCCTCTACCCCAGCATCTCCCTCTACAGTGTTGTGGATGACATCGCCATTGGAGCCGTGGGTAGGCGTAAGCATGTGATCCTCATGGTTCTGGGAGCCACCAAGTTCGTGTGTTTCCAGCTGTAGGCCCTGGGGTTCACCATCTCACCCACCAAAGGCATCGTCGCGGGCTCGTCGGCCCAGATCGCCCAGGTCATCCGCGCGGGCCTCAAGGTCTGGGACTTCAAGGGCATGGGGGCCGCGAAGAACCTAGGTGTGGACTTCGCGGGGGCCCCCGAGCGCTCCACCAAGGTCCAGCAGCGCCGGTGGCAATCCCTACTCCCTCGCATCGGAAGGTTCCTTCGTCTCAAATCATTTTTTCGGGCATGCACGGGGTCATCAAGACAGGTGGGGCTCCTGCGGCCTTCTATGGGGTCAGGGTGACTGGTATGCCCCCCACTCAGCTGGCTTCCCTGAGGGCCATCATCGGTGACGCTGCTGTCGGCCCAGCCAGGGGCCGTAGCAGAACGATCCGGTTCCTTCTCAATCAGGGCCACAAGTTGGGCCCCACCTACCAGGCTAATCTGCTCCCTCTAGGAATGTTGCACCAAGCTATCCAACAACGGTGGCTGCCCAGGTCCATGCTCAGCAGGTGCTGGAAGCACTACTTCTCCTCCAACTCTGCTGGCAAGTGGTCCAACGTCCTGGGCCCCACTGGCGTCGTTCTGGCCACCTTGCCGCGCCTCTGGTGGGCGGGGCTGGAGTTCGACAAGTGGGACATCGGGGACGGGATCTCTATCGACCTCGCCTCGTTTGGTAGGCACACGGTGGCCACCGTAATCGAAGGCCGCGTGCCGCCAGCTATTGCGACACGTTTCCGTCCCGAACGCTGCTGGCCAGTTGTACCCGCCTCTCATCTCTGTGGTCCCTGAGGAGCTCCAGGCTTTTCGGAAAAATGATAACGTCGACGCTGCCATCGTCCTGAGCGGAGTGGTTACAGGCAGATACCCGCGCCAGTTGCAGTTGTTCTCTGACCGCCGCGTGCCATACCCCAACTGCCTCCGCTGTGGCCAGGCCTATGAGACCCCCAAGCACAGGCTCTACGAGTGCCCAGGCTTTAATCTCTTTCGTCGGGACCTCGATCTGGCCGCAGTTGTTCGAGAAGCATTAGTTGTGTGCAGGATTTGTTGTGCGCTCGAGCCCTGGGCCCCGACCCTGGGGCCGACTGGCCCCCCTGTCCACGGCTGATTCCAGGCATTGGCACCTTCGGCCCCTTTCTGGTCTGTTAGGCCCTCGGCTTTGTATTGGCGTGGCGGGGGTTGACCAAGGGAACCCTTTTTCGGCCAGGGCGGGTTGGGCAGTTGTTAGCATGCTAGAAGTAGGAGGCTCCGACGGCAGTGTCTTCGGGCCGCTGCACCACCCCCTACATAGGAGTGGTAGGGGTGAGTATATGCTCTCATCATGGCCATCCGTCTTGCTGCCCCTGCCCTCCTTATCATATATACGGATTACCAAGCTATCATTGATATTTGGACAGCTGGCCCCGACGCGGACCGCTCCCAAGTCGCAGAGCTGTGGGACGAGGTGTTTTTTTTCCTGGCCTCCGACTTCGGGCTCGAGAATATCGAGCTCCGTAAAATCAAGGCCCACCTCTTCTGGCGGGCGTGCTCCCGAACCTCCAATGTGCCGTTCTGGGCATGGTCTGGCCACACTCTCGCTGACAAGCTTGCGGAGCAGGGGGCCAAGGCGCATGTTTCGAATCCCGACCTGGTGCGCAGGTGCAAAGATAGCCGTGGTTCGATCCGTTCTGTTGTAAGCTCATTGGCGCCTTCGGTAAATATTTGTCTCATTTTAATTTCCCCGACGTCCAGCGGGTTAAGAAGCCCCGCCGACCGACGTTTGACGCCCTCCCGCTCGTCCCAGATCGTCAAGGCCACGTTCTGCAGCGAGTTGGCAAGGCAGCCAGAGCTTTCATGTGCACCCGTTGTGGAGGTCGTGGTTTGTCTGAGCGTGCTGTGTGCGCTATGCCATGCACGGGCCTCCCACGTTTGGCCCGCCTGGCCGATAAGATTCATCGGCTCTGGCTCTTGGGCTCCTCCCTGGTGTGGTGCTCAAAGTGCGCAGCCTTCGGGAGTCCGAGGCTCCGCTTGCTCGGAGGTCCCTGCCGTGGGAACACACGCAACAAGGACGAAGAGAAGACCCTGAGGCTGCTCAGAGAGGGGAAGGATCCGTCCACCAACCGCGTGGTGGGCAGAAACTTCCGCCTCACCATCTCTTAATTCACCCCACCTTTTAACCCTGGGCGTCGTGTTCCATCTGGAGACAGACGTTCCGCAGCTTGAAGGAGCTTGAAGGAGGAGGAGGGGAAGAAGGAGCTTGAAGGAGGAGGAGGGGAAGGTGGAGGAGGAGGAGGAGGAGGAGGAGGAGGACCTTCAGGAACAGCATCGAGGACCGAGGCCTCTGCACCCCCCCGAGAGCGCCGGGAACCCGCCGCTGTGCCGCCCCCCCCCCCCTGGGGCACCGGCAGGCGACCACACCCTGCGGTGGCAGTACACAAAGGACTACGGGAACTACGTCGGCGAGGACCGGCGACCTGGGCCCCCCCCCTCTTTCTTCCTCCTCATCCTCATCCTGGTCCTCCCCCTCCTCCCCTTCCTCCCCTTCCTCATCATCATCATCATCATCCTCCCCCTTTCTCGCCCTCCTCCCCCTCCTCCAAACCCTCTCCTCCTCTTCCTCCATCCTCCTCCTCCTGTTTTTCCTCCTCCTCGTCCTGCTCCCCCTTCTTCCCAGACCCCCTGGCTCTACAAACAAAATGACGACGGGAAGTTTTCTTTCTTCCTCGAAAAAAACAAACGTGATAAACATAAGTGTTTTGCGCCCCGCTCCGCGCGGGCGTCGTGGATCCGCGCTGGGCCCTCTGGCGGCGCCTCCAGCGGAGCGCCAACAAGTTATGTTGCCGCGGAGCGGTCGGAGGAGCCGCCAGAGGACCCAGCGCGGAGCGCGGCAAGGGGGGCCAAGTCCAGGAACGGGGCCCTTGGCGCGCTCCGCGCTCCGGGGCGCTCCGGCGCAGATCCAAGGAATCCTCGCGGAGCGCCAGAAGATTATGTTCATGGCGTGTTTTTTTTTTTTGTTTTTCTCTCTCTCTCTCTCTCTCTCTCTCTCTCTCTTTTTATATCTCTCTCTCTCTCTCTCTCTCTCTCTCTCTCTCTCTCTCTCTTTCTCTCTATATATCTTTATATATATATATATATATATATATTGTTTGTTATATATATATATATATATGTACACATCCTTTTTGTTCAACAGGGGGGATGCATCGACCCCCAATCGCCCATTGATCGCCGACAGGGGCCCGATTGCCCCGACCTGCCCAGGAAAGGACAGATTCACCATCGGGGGCCTCTCGCCGATCGATCGGCGACGTGTATGTTTGATTCCGCATCGGTACATTCCCCCCCTGTGCCAGTCCCCACCCTATCGTTGCCCCGTACTCCTTTTGCTTTGCATCTTCGGGGGAGCTTTCCTGTCCTGTACATGCGCATGTCTTTAATTGTGCTCCGACGTAGGTTCGAAGCGGGGTTCGACGTGGATTCGGCACGGACTCAGCACGGATCTGACACGGATGCGGCACGGAACACGGATTCGACACGGATTGGACACGGACTTGATGCGGATTCGACGTGGATCGTGGCGCGACGGGACAGAAAAGGTGCCCCAAAGATACAACACAATTTCCTCAAGGGCAACGATCCCAGAGATTCAACATTCCCCCGCAAAATTGGAGCGGCCGGTTTTTGGCCGTCTTCGGCCTCCGGGGGCCCTCGCCAGGCCTCGGGACCGTAAAACAACGGCTCAGGACGGAAAGCGGGTCCTATGGAAGTGGTCCAGAATCCGGGCATCGAAACATTGTAGCAGCCGGATGTTTGGGATAGGGGGGGATCCGTAAGGGCTTGACGACTCGTCGCCAATCGTTTTTTGGAGATGAGGCCAGACAAATCTTGGCCGATCAGCGCGAGTCGAGGGACGGCAGAAGTCGTTAAGCCCTCATCGAGAGGATAGGAGGAGGAGGGGGAGGAAGAGGCGGAGGAGGAGGTGGAAGAGGAGGAGGAGGAGGAGGAGGACAAGGAGGAGGAGGAGGAGGAGGAGGAGGAGGAGGAGGAGGAGGAGGAGGAGGAGGAGGGGAAGCAGGAGCAGGAGCTGGAGAAGGACGACGATGGATGGAGGAGGAAGGTGGGGGGGTCTCCTGAGGCATCTGGAGGCTCTGCAGGCCTCCCGGGGCCCCTCAGAATCCCCCAAAGAGCCCAAACAGCCACAAGTTTCGAACCCTCCCTCTTCCTCGAACCTCGATCCGATGGCGACGACCAAGAACGGCGACGGCAAACAGCGACGGCGATGACGACAGCCCAGTGAGGATCGCGCTTGGGTGCAGGTGATCGAGGTGGTGGGCACGCAACATTCCGACCTGGTCGGCCCCGGGGGCAGGTCGTCATCGTCGGCGTCGGTCGTCGTCGTCGTCGTCGTCGTCGTCGTTGTCGTCGTCGGTGTCGTCGTCGGTGTCGGTGTCGGTGTCGTCGACTCGGTCGTGTGCGACCTTGATGTCATTGATCGTCGTCGTCGGCGTCATCGTTTGTATCGGTGTCTGTGTCGTCGGCTCGGTCACATGTGTCGTCGATGTATTCGGACGTCGTCGTCATCGTCGCCGTCGCCGTCGCCGTCGCCGTCGCCGATGCCGTCGCCGTCGCCGTCGCCGTCGCCGTCGTCGTCGTCGTCGTCGTCGTCGTCGTCGTCGTCGTCAACGTCGTCGTCGTATGTGTGGTCGTCTGCATCGTTGTCAACGCCATCGTCGTCATCGTCGGCGGCGGCAGCGGCAGCGGCGTTGTGTTTGTGGGGTGCGACGACGAGAAGGGTGACTGCGAAGAGGAGTTGGCAAGGGGAAAGAGGAGGGGGGTTGAACGCTTTAAGGGGAGGACGAGTGTATGAGGAGGTGCCAGAGGTGGCAGAAGGAACAGGAGGAGGATGATGATGAGGAGGAGAGCAGGGCACATATTCTTGGGACGAGAGGGAAGGAGGTCGAGGAGGAGGAGATGGAGGAGGAGGAGGAGAAGGAGGAGGAGGAGGAAGAGGAGGAGGTGGAGGAGGAGGAGGATCTGCTACGGGAGGAGAGGAGGAGGAGGAGGAGGAGGAGGAAGGAGGAGAGGAGGAGGAGGAGGAGGAGGAGGAGGAGGAGGAGGAAGGGAGGAGGAGGTCGAGGAGGAGGAGGATGATGATGAGGAGGAGGAGGGGGAGGAGGGGAAGGGGAAGGGGAGGTGGCGGGGGAGGAGGAAGGGGAAATCGCTTCTCCTCCCCCAGCCCTCTCTTTCCCTCTCCCCCGCCCGCCGTCTCTACTCGCTTTCCACCCCCGCCCCCCCTCCGCCAGCGTGCTCCGTTGTGCTCCTCGTGCTCCTGCACACTGCTGCCCGCCCACCTCTGCTCGTCCGTTGCTGCTGGCCTCCTTTGCTCCTCGCCCTCCTTGCCCTCCTCGCCCTCCTCTGCTGCTCGCCCTGGGGGTTCGGCGGAGGCTCGCGCTAGTCCGCAGAGCCTCCAGGGACACAAGGGGAAGAGGATGATGGGGAGGACGACGAGCAAACTGATGATGAGGAGGAGGAGAAGGAGGGCGATGAAGAGGCTCAGGAGGATCATAGCACCCAGGGTGCATTACCGATGTCGCCATCCACCCGCCCGTCCCAAGCCCCCTCCTCATCAGCCCCTACATGTGTTCCTGTCTGCTGCAGGAAGAGCCCCCCTTGAACGACGAGCGACCCGTGAGCCTGCCACTCAGGCGAGACCCCGCTGTATAAAGGATCCGCCCTCCGTCAGCCGCCGCAGGGTAGCCAAACGTGCTGCCTCGAGGAAGCTCGAGCTGGGACAAGTCCAGATCATCGAGTTCTCCACTCTGAGGCACGGCCCTGTCTCTTTCGAGGAGCAGGCGGGAGCTTCATTTTAATTATGGTCCTGCCGCCGCTGTTGTCTCCTCATCACATTGCGCAACAGCCGTTGGAACACACTGCATCTGGTCCGGAAGATCTTAAATGTAAGCCTGCAGCGAGGAGTTATTTTCATGCAATCCCAGGACGTGTTCAGCGATTGCCTCGTTTGTGATCTAAGATGCTCCCGATTTCCGTGCCAGAATGAGATCTGTTCAAAATGCGGGCCGTACAAGGCAAGGGCACGTCCATCGACAGCATTACTTGGGGAATGCACCGCCATCCGTCAATACACTTGTTGCGGCATGTGGAATTTCGGGCTCCAGCGGGGGCCACACGCTGAACAGAAACCGCCCTCCGTGTGTGCAGTTGCTGGACGGTTTTAAGACGAGTGCTCGCGTCGCCAATCCAGAACCCCATTTTTGCAGAGTTGCTGGACTGCATCCGTGTACCCTTTGGGAATGCCTGGGACGAGTGCGAGCGATGCAATGGCGAGGGCCCCATGCTGCAAAACGGCCCGCCCCCTCTGACAACGTTCCCATCGAGTGCCGCCGGTGCGGTGGCGGCCCCGAGACGTCGAACAATTGGTTTTGGCAGTGTGTATGTAACAAAAATATTCAGGCTTTTAGCGCTTCCGCCGACCCCCCCGCCACTCGTGCCATGGCGGAGATTGACAGTCTCGAATGTTGCTGGTTGCGGAGGCCCATTCCATCGAGCATAATGGCAGTCGACCTCCGCCGTCATATGAGATTCGGATTAGCTGTCGCGTGAATGAGGCATCCGATGGGGAGTGTCTCAGGCTTGGCACTTTGGGCCAGACCTTGATGGTTTTGGGCGATGCTTCGGGCGGAACCGGTTCCGACGACCCGAGGCTGAGGAGGACTGGATTGGCTATCGCCGCGGCGCCGTCCGCCAACCCCTCGTCTCAGCGTTCTCTTCACGGGCCCGTGCCTGGCCGTCGAGAGACGGTCCCGAGAGGTGAGTCGTTCTGTTTCGCGGTTGCTGGGGAAAAGTTTCGGGGTCCTCTGGCCTACATTACAGGTAAGCATGGAGTCTTTAGGGGGCTTTGGAGTAGGAGTTCCGAGCCCCCTCGGGGGCCCAATGGGAATCTTTGGAGTATGGTGCATGCTGCCCTGCAAGTGTCGGACCGGCACCCAGGCGACCTGTGCGTTCTCAAGGTGCCTTCTCACGTAGATGGCGCAGAAGTGCATGCCAGGGGTATCCCTGGTCACTTGATGGCTGGAAATGCATTTGTCGATCATTTTGCTTGGTCGGCCGCTGAGATGCTTCGTGTCTCCGCCGAGCAGAGAGCCAGGATCTTCCCTGTAGAGGCCGATGTCTGACCCTTGCGCGGACGGCTGCTGAGGGCTACCGTCGAGGCGTGCATCGCCGAAAAGACAAAAGGTCAGGCGCCGTGCTGCTCCTGGCATTGCTCCCCTGCCTGCTCCTTCCGTGGTCGCCATTTTCCTCGGCCCCGTCACGTGGTGGGGCCCTGTGGAAAAATCAGTGTTCTCGGTGCCATAGTTCGTAGTCGGTGCAAGGCAAGACCGATATGCCATCATAGGGATGTGCGTTCCCGGGCTAGGGGGAGCAGTCACCTTTTCAGGGTTCTTCACGGTCGGCTGTTATACCTCGTTTCCGGCTGGGTCCATCAGTCCCACGATATGGTATAGCACGAGTCGTTGGAATTTTGATCTGCAAGTCGCGTTGGAGATTATTTTCCTGTAGCCTCAGGGGGTTAGCGGATACGTGCGCGCCGCCCGTTCTCCAAGGGGCGAAACCATGGCGAGTATCTCTCAGTCGTATCCAACGGAACGTTTAGCCTTTGAAAGGGCTCAGCAAGGCTGAGCAGGCCATTTTGGGCCCGTGTCGGTAGTTTTATAGATTCGCTTCGCGACTGCTTCCATCTCATCTCATCATCCCCCTCTTCCTCCTTGGGGTCATCTCCAGAGCACGCCAGGGCTCGCAGGGGGCTGGGACGGCCCCCCAAGACGGCGAAAGCCAGTCTCCCTCAGGACCCGCCTGCTTTTGGGCGAGCGCTTGCGTGCCTCTGGGAGTGCAGGTCTGCCGGGAGTGCCACAGCGCCAACACGCACAGCATGAGCGGCGCCGCGGCGGTTTTTCGTGAGGAACGGGCAGCGGGGCAGTGCGGCCGTCTTCGCTCACTCCTCACCCACTGCTCCCTGTTGAAGGTATGTAAGCGCCGCCCCCGGCGAGGGCTTTCAAGCTCGAGCGACCTTTGGGGGCTCGTGCGCGCGCGGGGCTTGGGACCTACCAGGGCCCACTTCGATTCGAATTTCGCCTGGCTCGGTGCGATTCGGTTTCGATTTTCCGATCGTCAAACGCGGCCCGATGCTCGCATGGCCGTCTTGTGCATCCTGTGGCGCGGTCGATCCGATTCGATACCGAATTCTTTACGCTTCGCGTATCCCCACCAGCCCATCTCACAACAGCAACTCTTGCGAAGCATGCCGACAGTCGTGTTTTTCAGGCGTGTGTCCGCTTGCCCCCGCATATCTCCCCTGTTCCTCCTTCCTCCCGCCTCCTTGTACATCCTCCTTGTGGGGGGAGCGGGAGAAGGACGAGGCGGAGGAGGAGGGAGAGAAAGCGCTCCTCGTGATTTGAGTCGTTTGGGGTTTCTCGTCCTGGTGTGAGTCGTTCGGGCCCTTCTTCCTGGTGTGAGTCGTTCGGGCTCTTCGTGGTGTGAGTCGTTCGGGCTCTTCGTCCTGGTGTGAGTCGTTCGGGCTTCTCGTGGTGTGAGTTGTTCGGGCCCCTCATCCTGGTGTGAGTCGTTCGGGCCCCTTCTCCTGGTGTGACTCGTTCGGGCTCCTCGTGGTGTGACTCCAGGTCCAGGGGGAGGGGGTAGGGGGAGGGGTAAACCCCTCCCCGAAGGGGAAGAAGGAGGGTTGAGGACAGAGAGAGCTCCCTAAACCACTCACGCCCAAAGGGCTGGTGGGATTCGCGCCCATGCTCCTTGGCCCGACGAAAGTGACGATCCGATCCGATAGTACGATCGGGTATCGGCTTATCTTCCTTACAGGAGGCATTCTGCGGCGCGGAATCCATACGGAGAACATAGCCTCATGAGGGTCTTTGTAGCGGTATCATTCAATGCTGAGCGGTTGTGCTGTGTCAGGAACCTTCAGGGCACGTCGTCGTTGCAAGCACCCGCCGTAATCCCTCCTTCTGATTCCTCCGCTTCTCCCCCACCCCTCCTTCCCGCTCGTCCGTGGAAGGAGATGGAGGAGTGGAGGGGGGCAGAGGGGGAGGAGAAGGAGGTGGAGAAGGAGGAGGAGGAGGGAGGAGAAGGTGGAGAGGGGAAAGAGGAGGAGGACAGTCTATTGAGGAGTAAGAGGGGGAGAAGAAGGAGGAGGAAGAGGAGAATGAGGAGGAGGTGGAGAAGAATGAGGTGGAGGAGGAAGAGGAGGATGAGGGTAGGAGCCGGGACAGCATATACATATATACATAATATATATATATATATATATATATATATACACCCACGCAGCCATACATATCAGGGGAGGGAGGGAAGGAGGAAAAGGAGAGCGCATGCTCCTTCCCTACCCCCCTCCCTCCTCAGGTTCCCTCCCGTCTCGTCATGTCGATACGTCGCCAGTGCGGTTCTCTGGAGGGGGCGCCATGGAGCACGACCCACCTCAGATCAGAGACGCTGCTCTACGGGCTCCTCCTCAGGCCACCCTGGAAAATCCGAGGCCCAACGTAGAGAAGGCGCGGCGAACAGCGTCATCAGCGGGACCCAGCGATGTGCACAAGTCGCGTTTGGAGCTCCCGATCAGTTCTCTTCCGCGGCACTTCCTCGACCCAGATCGAGGCATGACTCCTCCTCCCGTTCCTCCTCTGTCCCTCTCTCGTCCGCATTCTTCTTTCCTCCCATCTTCACTCCCTTCCCGTCCCCCCTCGCTCCCTCTGTCCACGACGCCGCCGTCGTCGCCACCCGTGGCCGTCGCCACCGCCGTCGCCGCCGTCGCCGTCAGCGGGGTCGCCGCGCCGAGAGGCGCCTCGCGGTGCAACGCGTGCGGGCGGGACCAGGACCCCCGGGGTGTGTGCCGGGGGGTGGGGTCGCGACAGGGGGGGGGGTCAGCATGGCGGGGGTGGGTGCGTCGACTTCGCATGGTTTTGATGCGTTGCCGACGCATCGTCGATTCTTGATCAGGGCGATGTGCAGCGACGGCGTGCAGGCGATGCACGGGGCGTTCTGCATCGACGACGCAGCGAGGAGGCGTTGGCGGTGCATCGGCCATTCGGGGTCGATGCGTTCCCCCCTGTGCCTATCCCCCCCCCATCGTTGGGGTTAAGTCGGGCCTGTCCCCCTACAGGGGGATTTTCGACGAAAAATAAAATAAATACCCCCAAAATAGTAAAAACATAATCCAAAAATGATCTGGGGACTATTTTTTTGTAATTTCTTTGGCCACTTTGGGGCATTTTTTGTAGTATTTTTTTTGGTTTCGTCGAAAATCTCCCTGTAAGGGGGACACGCCCGACATCACGTTGGGGGAGCGGCGGGGGGGGGGGGCGGCGGCGGCGAGGCACTGCAGCCGAGCATCATCAGATCTGCGATCTCCTCGAGGCGTTCAGACAGCGGCGCGCCCACCGGCCGTTGCAAGCAGGCTTAAGTCGGGCCTGTCCCCCTACAGGGGGATGTTCGAGGAAAAATAAAAAATACCTCAAACATACCCCAAAAGGGTACAACAAACTATTCAAACATCATCCCCATACTCTTTTTGGATTATTTTGTTGAGTATGTTTGGGGCATCTTTTATTTTTCGTCGAAAATCCCCGTGTAGGGGGACAGGCCCGACTTAAACGTAGGCATTCTGGGATTCCCAGATCTCAGTCAGGGTTTTGTCGTCTTCCTGCCTCTTCCCTGCTCTTCAGGGGGCGGGTGGACGCCCAGTATACTTGCAACGTCTTCCTACTTCATGTCACTGCCCACGTCTTCCGACCGATGGGTACGAGTTTTCTCCCTTACTGATGAACAGTTGGTCCTAGGGATGTCTTGATGGACTTGAGGACGTGCGGAAGGGCTCCGTTCGCAACAAAGGAAGTGGGTCTGGATGCTTTGCTGGACTTTTCAGCCTCCTGGGGCCCCTTCGGGGGTCTGGGGCCGTCAGATGATGGCCCAGATGAGGGGGAGGAGGAGGAGGGGGAGGAGGGGAGGAGGAGGAGGAGGAGGAGCAGGAGGAGGAGGAGGAGGAGGAGGAGGAGGAGGAGGAGGAGGAGGAGGAGGAGGATGGCCCACTGTGAAAACCGAGCCCCCTGGGAAAGCCATGCGCCCGCCAGCAGGCCCCCGGCGCCAGCGCGGGGAGCGGCCCAGGGATCTCCAGGCACTGCTTCATTCAGGACCTCCCTTTTTTTCTCTCCTCCTTCGAAATTCCTTCGGCCGAGGGTCGAGGATGAAGGGTCGAGGTCTTTGAGCCCACCGTTTCGCCCTCTCTTCTCAACCTCCACATCTCCCTGCTGCCTCCAAGGCATCGAGCACATTGCTCCATTGCTCCAGCACGTGCGGCTTGTTTCGATGTGCGGCGCGCGATTGCTTGTACACTTCATCTGTGGATATGGCCCCCTTTCTCGGATTCGAGCCGCTCCACACCTCGTCTATGCTCCGCCTGTGTCGCTCTATCTTTGTCTTTGTCTGTCTCTGCTCCCATTTCCCATGCAGTGCTTGCGATTGGGGCGTCTTATTTCTTCTCGGAGGAGCTGGGCCTGCGGGCTGGTCTGGCGGCTATGCTGTCGCCGTCGCCCGTCGCCGCCCCGTCGCCGCCTCGTCGCCGCTCGTCGTTTAGGCCTGCGGGCTGGCGTGGCGGCTATGCCGTCGCCCGTCGCCGCCCCATCGCCGCCTCGTCGCGGCCCCGTCGTCGGGGCCCGTGCGGCGGTCGCCGCGCTTGCTGTCGCCGTCGCCGCCCCGTCGCCGCCTCGTCGCGGCCCCGTCGTCGGGGCCCGTGCGTCGGTCGCCGCGCTTGTTGTCGCCCGTCGCTGCCCCGTCGCCGCCTCGTCGCGGTCCCGTCGTCGGGGCCCGTGCGTCGGTCGCCGCGCTTGTTGTCGCCCGTCGCCGCCCCTCGCCGCCGCTGCTCTTCGTCGCATCGTTGCTTTGCATTGCTTCGCCTTGCTCTGCACTGCGTTACGTTGCATATATTGCTCAACACTTATGGCACAATATTGTACAGCATAGATTATATCATACATTTCGACACATCTACTGCACAACATGGATTTGACCACACTGTTTGCTTCAAATAGATTGCAGCACGCAGGTCGCACCACAGAAATTGTCCATTTGGCGTCCACGCCGAGTCCACGCATGTTGCACAGCACACACACACACACACCAGGTACATTGCTCCACATCGACGGCGCAACCTAGAGTATACCTCATAGAGTACAACATATGCATTTTTCCATCGGAAGTGATGCACGGCAATGGATCGCGAATAGCGTTCCCTATGTCGCCGTTGCTCCTCAAACAATTTCCACTTGGAGAGGTTGATGGTCGCCCTCGCTGGCCACCTCGCGGGCCAAGCAGTTGGCCAGGCGCTCCATCGGGGAGCTGGTGTGCTGGGGCAGGCGCTGGACACTTGGCTGGGGCTAGGACGCGGCGGCGAGAACGCCCGCGTGTGCAAGTTCGACGGCGGGGACGTGGACTTCGGCTGGATCGCGCTCTTGCAGCGCCAGCTGGAATGGTGCGGCTCGTGAGAAGCGAGGCGTCGCGCGCGGAGTGGATCTTGAGCGAGTGGGTCTTCGTTGCGGCGCTCGTGGCGATCGCCTTCGCCGTGGACGAGCTCTTGCCCTGAGTGCCTGGACGAGCTCCTGGACTGCGGAGAGTGCGCGGAGTGCTTGGACGAGCTCTGTGCCAGGTGCAAGCCTGCTCTAGGCGTGCCTTAGGTGCTGGATGTCGCCCAGGGCCATTTAATTGCGACCTTTCCTAGGGACCTGGGAAGGCAGCAGGGGGTCTCCGGCAGCTACGATCGGGACGATGACTACGCGCGGAGGCATCGGCACAGTGTACGGCGGGGTCTTGCGGATTGACATGCTGGAGTTCGAGAGGAGGCGCGCTGAATTTAAAGGCTACGCTGGACCGCTTCGCCGCGGCGAGTCGCGAGCAGGAGAGACCAAGTGAGCCTGATGATGAGCTTCTTCCCGCTGCTGACGGCCGTGCCGATGAAGAAGGGGGCGTTCCCCCTCCCTTCCCGCATCTTGCCGAACTTCCGTCTGAACTTGGACTTCGTGGGGGTGACGGAGCGCCTACACATACTACGACGACGAGATCAAGAAGGTGAGGCCGGCCGACCTCTTTCGCTGGCTAGGAGATCGGCTTGTACTGTGCGGCGATTGCGGCGTGCTGGAGCTGTGTCAGACGGGAGCTCTCTTGCTGTGGGCCTTCCTGGGTCGGTCTTTCGCCCCACGCCGCGCGCGCCTGAGGACATCAGGGCGGTGCCGGTGCATTTGGGCAGTGCTGGAGACTGCAGCAGGCCGTCCGCGAACGCAGTCACACCATGAAAGTGGTGGCAGTGAACGGTTGGCCGATCGTGGGCCCGCGCGCGTGCATGTGGCTGCAATTGCGGGTCGTGAAGCTGGGGCGCGCGCCGATGCAGCGCCGCAGTTGGTGGCGGCAGATCCCCGGCTTGACGGCTGAGGGTCCAGGCGTGGACGAACAAGTTTTTGTTCAGCGAGATGCTGGAGGTCGGCGGCCTGGTCGCCCAGGTGTGCCTCCCCGGCCTCGTCTTCTTCGAGATGGCTTGCAACAGGTACCCGCTGTGGGAGGAGGCGTGCAGCAACGCTCTTCGCGAGGCGGGGGGTGGCGGCGGCGCTGGCGGTGCAGCGTGGCCAGGTGGGCGCCAAATCTTCTTCGGGCAGCAGAAGGGCCGCGATTTCGACCTGGTTGGCCCGCAACTGAAGGAGCGGGTCGCGGGGCGCTGACAGAAGGAGATCCAGGCCATGAAGGGGGGCGCAAGGGCCGCGAGGAGAAGCTTTCGGCCTCGGGCGGCGCCCCCGCTACTGCGACGACGCCGATGCCCTGCGCGACGACGCCGCAGATGGAGACATCCGCGCCCCGAGGCCAAGCCGAGAGGCAAGGCCAAGGCTGCGGCTGAGGAGGCGCGGGCTATTTTACCCGAGTCTCGCGCGCGTCGTAGCGGCGACGGCTGGGGCCCCCGACCAGTTCGTCACATTTCTGAGGGTGGCACCCGCGGACAGCCCAGTGCTGCAGTTCGCTGCGTGGACTTGATGGCGTCGTCTCAAGACCTGCTACCGATCCCACTGGGCGCCCGCCTGGACGGAGCATTGCATGGCCCGGCTCCATGTCGGACGTCACCTTCTTCGCGGCTTCGCAGTGTAAAGCGTGATCGGCAGAGCCGACGTCTGCGAGATGGTCTTTGCAGTTTCAACGCGCTGGGTGGTCGAGCGCGACAAGCGGCCCATGGTGCGGCGCTGACAGAGACATAGCGCGTCACTGTTCGCAGCCCTGCTGGACTCGACGGGGCGGTGAGCGTCCCAGATTGGCACCTTCCTGCCCAAGCGCCGCAGTGGATGGCGTTGCATGGCCTTCGACCTGGCCGCGGTGATGCCAGGGCTACAGGCGTTATGGCAGCTCGCCAGACAGGCGTGATTTTTCCGCCTGGCAGCGGCGCTGGACGAGTCGAGCCGCCGTGCGCGACGCAGGGGACTGGCCGTGGTCAGCTGCGACATCCTGCTGAATATCACAGCTTGTTCGGGTCATGCACTGAAGACTTGCGTTATCTTGGCCCGGAACTGGGGCGCAGCGGCCGCGACCTCGGCCGCGCCTCGTCGGAACTGTTTGACGCGGGCGCGGTCGAGGTGGGCGCGCGGGGCGCCAGGGGGGGATCGGATTTTTCGCGCGGCGCCAAGACAACGAGTTTCGCTCGATCGATGGCGCCCGCTCTGCAGGCGCTCACTTTGTCGAGCCAATTCGCGCCGAGATCGCTGGCCCCGGGGCCCTCGCCGCCATCGAGCACCGCGGGCTCGGCGCGCCGTGCTCAGGGAGGGGAAAACACATGCGCGATTGATCGTCGACCGCCAAGAAGACACCGGATAATAAGGGAAGCGGGGGGGGAGACGGGCAACCGGAAAATGTGTGAAAAGATATGGGATTTTGGGGTTTGTGTTTGTTTATACGCGTGTCGTTGGGCCCCTTGATCTGCTTCCGCTCTGGCGATGTGGAGTTGCTTCTATATGTGCAAATTGCCTGAGTGGGCGAGGGGGTTCTCCTCGCCGCCCTCCACCCAAGCGCGGCATTTGCCCGCTGCTCTCCGGGGTCGCCTGGGTCGATCTGTCCGCGCTTGCGCGGGCTTGGAGTTGAGTTTCAGGGTCGCGCCGACGGGCTGGGCTTGGGCGGTCTGTTTGATTCATCAGGGGTGTCATCGCGCCGTGGACAGCGCCCTTCACGCTGGGCGTTGGGCGCTTGGCGAGCGCCTTGTAGTCGACCCGGGCCAGGAGGGCGCGAAGGTGCTCTGCGTCGACGACTTCGCGGCGGCCTCCGTTGACCAGGGGCGCGTCGAGCGGGCCGCCCGAACCCTGCGGGGGGGCCTTGGCCGAGCGCGGGGCGGTCAGTGACATCGGGGCTTTCTCGGGCGACAGGGCCATGGCTGGGCTTCGCCGCTGGTCGCTGGCGCGTCGAGCCGCGGCTCTTTTGGCGGCCGACGTGTGCGCTCGATTGCCTGCTCGGCGTTGAGGGCAGGATAGTACCTGGCAAGCGATGGAGAGCGTCCTGGGCCACTTCGTCGCCGCGCGCATACTGGCGCGCGAGTCGCTCGCCGTGCTGGCGCGCTACTTCTTCGCGGTCGACTCGGGGCTGCAGCGGCGGCCGCTATGGTCTTGCGCCGGGAATGGGCTGTTCCGTGCGCTGCCGCTCCTGCCTTGCATCGTCGGTGGCGCTGGGCGAGGTGGGGTCGCTCATCGTCGCTGCCAGCGGCGCGCCCCGGTGGGCCGCGGCGCGGAGGGGGGCGAGGCCAAGCGGGGGGGCGCCGTGGTTATCAGACGCGGATGGTGGTCAGAGCGGGGCCCCCGGGGCCGCCGGCCGCTGCCGGGGCGCGCCGGGATCGCGCGCGGCAGGCGGGGGTGGCGCAGGCTCCGCGCGAGGCGTTGGCAGTTCCCCGAGGTCAGCTCCACCGCGCTGACGGGCTCTGCGCGGGGCGTGGTGGTCCGCGGGCGCCGGGGGCGGCGCGGTGCCGTTCGTCGCCTCGAGGCAGCGTCGGTCTGCCGGGCCGCGTAGCGAAGGGCGCCCGGCGTCGCGGGCCTTGTCGCCTTGTCTTGGCGTATGACATGTCTGTCGCGTTGGCCATGGCAGAAATAGATGCGCCCGATTGCCGTCTGCCACTCGCTTTCGTCTGTGCCTTGAGCGTCGCAGCTGGAGCCCGATTGCAGTGCCGATTGGCGCCCGTCGGAGCGGGGCCCCGGCGATCGGGCCCGCCGACGGCGTCAGCTGCTTGGGGGTCGCGCGCGGGCCCGAGCGTGGTGGCCTCCCCCGCGCGGCGGGCGGCCTGCGTGGAGGGGGGGGCCTGGCGGCTCGGCGCCGGGAGCTGCCGCCCACCTGAAGATTAAGATCAGGCCGATCCGAAGAGATATCCATTCGTTCTCGGTCTTGGGCGCCTGTCGACGCAGGGGGACGGGAAAGCGGCGCAGGTGCCGACGTCGGGCAGGGTGGTTTCGCGTCGCAGGCTCGGGCCGCGTGGGCGGCTTGGCGCCGCGAAGATGCTCGCCTGGCTCGAGCTTGAGCGGCGGCGCGTCTGCCCTCGGCTGCCATGGCTGGCGCCGCGAGGGACGGCTGCAGACGCAGACCGTCTACCTGTCGCGACTAGAGTCGGCGCGATTGCGCCGGGGCGCGGTTTGCGAGTTGCTTCGCGGCGGCCTTTCTGGGCCATCTGCGAGAGACAACGTCGTCGCTGTCGTCGTTTCGAGTGGCGCTGTCTCCCCTGATGTGTGCTCCACTGTATTAGGAGGAGCGACAGTGTCATGTGTTTCGGCCGCGTTGGGAGACAGTGCCATCTGTATCCCATGGGCGGGAGGGGTAGATGTGATGGGAGGCGAACCGCGCCTTTGGCCAAACGCGCCCATTGTAGTCGCCGAACCATGGAGTGCTCGACTTTGTTTGTTTCGCTCCACCAGGTCCCTCTCTGGTCGCGGACTTGCGAAAAGTGAGACTGCGTCGATGCGGAGTTCGCGGGGTGGCTTTTCGACGTGGACGGAGCGGCGGCGACGGCGAAGCGAGTCGGCCCTGCGCTGCCGCGGGGCGTCCCGCGCCTCGGCCAGGGGTCGCTGCGCGTGACCTTTCCTGTCCTGCAGCAGGCGCTGATTGGCTGGTTTCGGCAGAGGCCAGAGCTGTCGGGCACGCCCTTGCCCTGGCAGGTGGTTTCGGCTGCTGCCCTGCGCCTCTTCGAAGTCGGCGCGCTGGCTGACCTTCGTCATCGGGGCGCAGGATGCGTTAATCCTTAGAGAACGAAAGTTCGATATCAGCGCGCCGCTGAGCTTGGGCAGACGGCTCTGGCGAGCTCGCTGCGCGGAGGCACTGGTGAGCCGCCGGGGCCGCGTGCAGGCCGCTCCTCGAAGTCGAGCGCTGGGGCGTCGCCGCGCCCTTCTAGATGGCCTTGGGCGAAGTCGGTGCCGAGGTGCTGCGGGGCGCCCTCTACTCCCTCTTCCACGGGGGCGTCGCCGTTCAGCAGCGCGGGCCGGCGCGCTCTCAGCGGCGCGGCGCGCCGCGAGAAGCGCAGGGGGCCGGGGCTCGAGCTGCAGGAGCTGGCGCGCGGGCGTTTGGCCCAGCTGCAGCAAGGCCTTTCCGGCATCGAGCGCGCCTTCGAGAGGTTCTTCGCGCCGCGTTGGAGGCTGCGCGAGGCCGCCGATCATCGGTGCCAGTCGAGATCCCCCCAGGCTCGGGCGAGCTCGTCCGACGCCTTCGCGCGCGAGATAGCGCCGCAATGGAGTGGGGTGTGGAACGTGATGAATGTTTCCGCCCTCTTGTTCCTGGAGTCTGGCCTAATCTTCAGGGGTTGATCGCGCCGGGACTTGTGGAGGATGCGCGGGCGCGGGCCCCTTGCGACGGCTGCGCCAGAGCTCGTTTAGCCCCGTCGCATAGCAAAATGCCAAAACAATACTGCCTTCTTCGCGACCTTTTGGGCTCTGGGGGCTCGTCGGCGAGAGCCCCGAGTTGTCGTTTGTTGCCAGCGAGCTCGGCGCCGTCGCGCGCGATATCTAGCATTTGCGCAGTCGGAGGAACATCCCAGTATGGGGGGGGGTAATCCATGCCAGAGTTTCCTGCGGCTTCGCCCCGATCGGGTTGCGCCGTGGATCTCAGGTCAGCTTTAAGAGAGAAGTGTCGATCATTGTGGTTGTGGCAGGCCCTTGAGTGGCCGCGCGCGTTTGCGATGATGGCGCCGCCGCCCTGACCCTGGCTGGCCCCGCAAGTTCCCAATCTCATGGGCATATACTCACCGAAATGCCCAGAGCCGCTCCTGCCTGTTTTTGCACCCCCATCGCCGCCGCCCTGCCGCGAAGTAGCGCTCGGAGATTGTGACCAGAACTTGGGCGTTGCATTCGGTGAAGCAGGTAATCAGCTCAATGCTTGGAGGCGGGATTTGTCGGGTCGGGGTGCGGTGCTTTCGGGTGGTTTGAATTCGCCGCGATTTATAGTAAATGGCAGGGCCCCAGCAGATGTCCTGCGACGCCTCGAACAAGATACCGACCAGAAAAACCGATCATGGAAGCGATGCGCAGGAATGCATAGTTTTTTGGTGCTTGTTTTTTCTTGGAAGTGTGGTATCCCCGATAATTTGTGATTTCGAATGGATTTATACATTTACCACAACAAACGGATCAACATACTGCTCCACATATATTGTCCAACAGAGACACACCACAGAGATAACTCAGCATATATCGCACGAGATATATTGCACAACGTGGATGGCATAACATAACACGCACCACACAGGATGCACCACGTATATTGCACCACATATTGCGGTGCACCACGTACATTGCACCACACACCACGTAGTTAGCACAACCTATATTGCTAAACAATATGTTTGGGGTCGGGGCCCACGCTGGCAACGGTCTCTTTGTTTTTTGTTTGGCGCAGTACTTGGAGCACCGATCCATCAACTTGGAGCAGTGCTTGGACTGCCCCGCTGGCAAGTGGTCTTGCGGGCGTCGGAGAAGTTGAGAGAACTGCGCAGTCAGAGGGATGAGGAGGAGAACGACGTGGTTGCGAAGCCGGAAGCGGATGAGGGCAACGACGGGCGTGCGGATGAGGAGGAGAAGGACGAGGATGAACAAGATGACCAGCAATAGGCGCAGCAAAAACAGTTGAAGGAACGACAGCAAACCATGTAGAAGCAGTAACAGTGGCAGAATGACGACTGTTTCCCTCCCGTTTCCCTTGTTTTTTTTGTTTTCCTTTTTCGTTTTTCCTCTTTCACTCCCCGTCCCCATTCCATGTTTTTCACTTCCCCCCCTTCTCCTCCGCCCCCGTTGGACCTCCCGATGACGATCATGACGGCGACTACGACGACGATGCTTTCGAAAACGACGATGACGGCACATTCTACGACGACGGCAACGAAGACGACGAATATTTGCAAGAGAGTGGCAACGACGACGGCGATGAGGACACATACCACGACGAACACCGTGATGATGATGAGATCGACAACGAAAACCACGACTACACAACACGACGAAGATCACCGACAACGAGAGGGCCCACAACGCGCGAAGGCGTAGATTTTCTAACCTCGACCTTCGATGGCAAACTGCGCCGCCGCTGCCGGCGAGGACGACTGCGGCGGCAGGCAACGACGATGGCGGGGGCCAGACGACAACGCAGATGACGGCGACGCCGGCGACGACGACCGTCCACGATCGACGACGACCACGACGACCACGACCACGACGACGACGACGCCGACGACGACGACGTACGACGGACGACGGACGACGGACGGCCGACGACCGACAACCGACGCCGACGCCGACGACGACGACGACGACGACGACGCGACGCAAGACCCAGCGGCGCCCGCTAGGGGCCCCGCGCCGCAGCCCCCGCGCGCGCGGGCGGGCGGCCAGGTCCAGCCCCGGGAGCGTGAGCTCGACGTGCGCCCGCCCGCGCCCGCTGGGTATCGGGGGCGGAAAAGAGGGGGAGGAGGAGGAGGAGGAGAAGGAGGAGGACAAGGAGGAGGAGGAGGAGGAGGAGGAGGAGGAGGAGGAGGAGGAGGTGATTCACAGCTTGGGGGCGGCAAAGAGGGGGGTGATGACTAGGGGGGGGATGGATATCATGGCGGGGGCCATGATATCTCCCCAGATTTTGTGGCGCCTCTTCTTTTCTCATTGCGACCTTGCCCCCCCGCTGGGCCGCGCACATGCCGCCGGTCATGATTTGTCCCCCCCCCCCCCCTCTTGGACACCCCCCTCTTGGCCGCTCCCGATGGTACGGCCGAGATGGATATACACGCCAGTGGTTGAAAATAGGAGGTTCTGGTTTCCCAGATCCCAATTTACTCCAAGCGCGTTCCTACTTCAAAAACCGATGTGCTTGTGCTGTGTGTTGCTATTCTCTGGGAGGGCCCGAATCCAGTTTACTTGATCCGCCTTCCTAATTACTTCATGTTTTTACCTACTTCTTCCGACGGGCGTGTACGGAAGGGATGGGGACGAAGACCATCCGTGGGGGGAAGGGCTCGAGGGGTAGATCGATCGAGGTTCTATCGCGCTGGAATCGGTCCTCGGCGATGATCCAGCCTCGGGATCCACTCCAGCAGCTGCGCCTCGCCGAGAGCATTCTGGGGGTGCCTAGATCGTCTCGAACTGCCGCCGGAGGCCCGAGTTATGACGGGGAAACCACTGGGGACGGGGATAGGCACAGGGGGAGATGCAGAGATGCATCGACATCCAATCGCCCATGGATCGCCGATAAGGGGCTGATAGCCCCAACCTGCCCAGGAACGTGCGGATTCGCGATCGGGGGGCTATCGCCGACCAATCGGCGATGCATCGCCGATTGCAGATCGATGTGTCGCCCCCTTTGCTAGTCTCCCCCTATCGTTGCCCTTCAGGCCAACAGCACTTGCTTCGGTAGCAAACCATGGGAGCCTTGTGTACCTTTGTAGTTCCGTCTTCGGTGTGCGTTAGCGCCAGTTAGCGTCTGGAAAATAATGAGGAAGCGCCGATTTAGCGTCGGCTAGCGTCGATTTAGTGCGATTAGCGTGGATTCAGCGTCGACTAGCGTCGAGTATCGTCGAGACTCCCATGAGTTTTCACCGAAAGGGTGAAGACTAAGAGCAACTCTTGCCCAAGTTAAACAGGATTCGGTGTCTTGGCCGCCGCGGGCCATGTCCATTTGGTGCACAAGCTCGCGTGCGCAACAGCGGCCGCTGTTGGTTTTGGACAGCATTCGTTGCTGGGCATGGGCGTCGGTCCCATCTTATCGTACCCATTGCGGGAATGCCATACCGCGCGAGGAGGGAAGTTCGAGGATCGAGGAACGCGGATCGAGGATCGAGGATCGAGGGAAGGAAAGTTCGAGGGAAGGGAAGTTCGAGGATCGAGGACCGAGATTCCTGCTTCGCGGCCTGGACGTTGTTCATCGTCCTGAGGCGGGAGGATCCCAGGATCGATGCGGTTGTAATTCTTGACGCTTCGCGCATCCAGATCAGCCTCTCGTCTTTGGCCGCTTCTTTGCTTTCGTCTGCCTCTGTGTCCGCTTTGTAGCTTTCGCCACCCTTGTGGCCCCTTTTCCGCGTCACACTTGCGACAGCAGGGCTTGCGCTTCTCTTTCGATTTTATGACGGCGGGCGGCTGACCGCGTCGCTCGCGAGCAAAATGGTAGCCCCATCAGCCCATCCAGAAGCGATGCCCAAACCCAGTGAGGTGATCAGGGAAGTGGGTGAGCATGCAGAAGAACAAATGGCGGGGGATGCCGTCATATACGCAAAGAGGGGGAGGATGGAGTCGTCGTCGTCGTCGTCGTCGCGGTGGGAGGAGGAGGACGAGGAGGAGCAGGAGGAGGAGGAGGAGGAGGAGGAGGAGATGGACGAGGATGAGGGCGAGGGCGAGGACGAGGAGGACGAAAATGAGGAGAAGGAGGAAAAGGAGGGAGAGTTGGGTACTTCGGGGGTCCTCTGGAGGCCTCGCATGGGGTCTCTTGGAGGCCTCTTGGGCGCCTCTTGGGGCTGTCTGGGCGCCTCTTGGGGCCCTCTTGGAGGACATCGATCAAGCAAGAGGGGAGCTTCAATTAGTCTCCCCCCTTCTGATTGGACAAAGTCGGTAGCAGATTGCGCATGGCGCACGCGACGCCCATCGAGAAGAGGGTGGATGAAGTGGGACGATGCTGTCCGGCGTTTCTTTGCAGATGACGACGTCCACTCCTGGACAGAGCAGGCGCTGGACCGGGATATGGTGGGCATCCCGGGTCGAGCATTTCGTCGCGTGGCTCATGAAGCGGTGAGGCGGGACGCGCCGAGCTGCGCCCCTCGCGGGCCTGCTCGGGGACGCAGCCACTCCCACTTCCACTGCCACGCGGGAGCACCGAACATCGCCTCCCGGACCCCGTCTTGGAGCGCTCTGGGGGCGCCGCGGGGCGCTCTGGGGGCCGTCTTGGGGCTCTCTTGGGCCTTTCCTGGGGTTCTCTCGTGCCCTCTTGGGAGCCATCTCGATCAGGAGGGAGAGAAACACACACAGACACAGTTCGTCGTCGATTCCCCTGAAAGTAGGGAAATATGGGAAGTGGGAAGGGGAGATACAAAAACCCAGACGAGATGGGAAAATACAGTGAATCCTGTTATTTGTGTGTATTTATGTGTGTGTGTGTGTGTGTGTCCCAAGGCCCCATTCACTTGAGGCCTCGTATGGCCATCGGAAGCGAAGAGGCGAGAAAGCACACATCATTCAGTTTCCCTAGGTTTTTGACCGATTTGGGCTTCTTGGGGGCCTCCTGTGTGGTCTCGGGCGCCTCTCGGAGCCGTCTTTGGGCGGTATTGAGCCTCTTGGAGCATCTTCGGATCCATCTTGAGGCATCCTGCGCTATCTTGAGCCATCCTGGAGCTTATGTTGGACTCGCAGGGGCCCTCTTGGAGCCGTCTTGGGCCATCTTGGACGCTTCAAGGCCTCGCGGCCCCCCTCCCGTCCAGGTCAAGGGGAGGGGGTAACGGGGGAGGGGTGAACCCCTCCCCGAAGGGGAAAAAGAGGGTTGGAAGAGGAAGCGTCCTAGACCACCTTCGCCCAGAGAGCTCGTGGGATTTGGCGGTTTGAAGTGTTTCGTCTGCCTCCGAAGGCATCTGAAGCAGGTTTCAGAGGGAACGCGTTCGGCCATTCCCAAGAGCGACCTTTCACCGGAGTGACCTTTGGTGTGGGCCCAATGGGTCCCCCGGTCACCGAACGCGATGCGATAGTCGGGGCTCAAGAGACGGGGGTCAATGCAAACGGGGGTCAGCCAGGGCACCAGATCTTTCAGGATCCTGCGAGGACCCCCTCCGGCTGACCCTGGTTAGCGAGCCGCTCGTGGCCGCGAGGCGGCCGCGCATATTGGCTGACCCAGGTTTGCGAAGACCTGCGTTGCAGTTTTTTTCCTGCACTGCAGTTTTTGGTTTCCTGCTGATCCGGGTTTGGATTGACCCCGGTCAGAAGATCCCCGAGATAGCAGCGTATTGCGCGCCTGTGTTTGGTCCCCCCGCGGCAACCCAAAAACCGCGCACCACAGTTCATGCTTACCCACTGTCACTCTTTGCGAAAGGCCGCAGCGCGCGGGAGGAGAGGGGGTTTTTGGAGTTCCGATGGTTTCTGGGGCCTCGTGAGGACGCCCCCCCGTCGCCACGGCCGCTGTCAACCTTGAAGCTCTGGTCAGAGCTCGCCCCTGGACGGGTCAGGGGGCCGGTTCGATGGGATGGACGGGGGAAAGGGAAGGGAAGAGTGGCCAGGGGAAGGCGGAAGGGGAGAGGGAGGGGAAGGAGGGAGGGGAAGGAGGGAGGAAGGGGATGGAGGGATGATGCCGTGGAAGAGGATGGAGGAAGGGGAGCAAGGAGGAAGGGGAAGGAACGAGGAAGGGGAAGGAATGATGCATGGAGGAAGGGGAACGGAAGAGAGGCCAGAGGAAGGATCTGTCGTGGAGGGGGGAGGGATCGGGGGCGTCTTCCTGGTGGTCCACGAGGCTGTCAGCGTGGCAAGCCTCGATCGCTGGTGTACGCTCGCTAGACCGTTCGCCGTGCCGTCCTCCTCCTCCTCTTCCTTCTCCCCCTTTTTCTCCTCCTCCTCCTGCTCCTCCTCCTCCTCCTTCTGCTCCTCTCGTCGCTGGCGCGCGCTCGGGAGGTCCTGCAGGGACAGGATGCCCTGCAGCGCGTCGGACGTGGATGTGACGTACACGCCCTGCGAGCAAGAGCAGCGGCGCGCCGCCGCGGCTCTCTCGGGGCGGGCCAGCGATCGGGGAGGGGCCGCCGGGCCACCAGAGCAGCGCGCGCACCGCCGCCCTGGGCCAGAGGCCCCCTCCCTGGCCCAGGGATGGAGCACGATGCCGCCCCCAGCCAGGCCGGAAGGGCACACGCACCGACCCCGGGCCCGGGGCCGGCCTGGCGAGGCGCCGGCGCGGAGGCATCCATGGCTTCCAGGGGCGCACCGGCTGCGCGCCTCGGCGCGGGGGGGTGGGGCAGAGGCCCCCTTGCTTGGCATCTTCGGGGGGCCTCGCCTGTCCCCGACAGTGGTGTCTTTTCTCGTGCCCGGCGCGGGCTCGAGGCGGAGTCGACGCGGATTCGGCGTGGATTCGACGCGGATTCGGCACGGGTCCGACACGGATCATCCGACGAGGCCGACATGGATTCGACACGGAGTCGACGCGGATGGGGCCGCGACGGGACAGACAAGGTCCCCCGAGGATGCCACGTAACTTTCGGCCAGTGGCCCGCCTCGCCTCGCCGTCGCACCGCGAGAGGGCCGGAGCGCCTTCTTGACGCCCGCGACGGGGATCGGCGGGGCCTCTCGGCGGCCGTGCGCCGACGAGGCGAGAGGGGCCCCCTTCGGAGGGGTGCGAGCAGGTCGTGTCGTGTTGATGAGGCGGCGACTCCGGCGCGGGCGTTCCTCCGTTCCTCCTCCTTCCTCCCTACCTCCTCCTCCCTCTCTCCTCCTCCCTCCTCCTCCCTCCCTCCCTCCCTCCCTCCCCTCCTCCTCCTCCTCCTCCTCCTCCTCCTCCTCCCCTCCTCCTCCTCCTCCTCCTCCTCCTCCTCTGGAGCCTCTGGAGCCTCTGCAGCCTCTGGAGCCTCTGGAGCCTCTGGAGCCTCGGCCAGGTCTGTCCCGCTTCGCAAGACAGCCCAGGAATCAGAAGGGGGCCACGACGTGCTTGCCGACGAGAACCTCCGCGTGCGCCTCCATGCCAACCTCGAAAAACGCGGAGCCGAGGCGCCCCCGGTGCACAGCGGCTCGAAATTGCAGGAGGCCCACGAACCGCTATCACTGCTGGTTGCAGGACGCATCCTCGGGAGGCTATATCTCCTCCACCTTGAGCGCGCCTTCCCCACGCACGAGCGAGGCCAGCTTCTGCTTGAACGGCCGCGGTTTGAGAATGCGCCTCCTCGTCGTCCTCTTGTGGTTGAAGGCCCCCACGGCCTGGGAGTGCATCTGCTGGACGATCGCCTCGTCGTCATCAGTCAGTGGCCCTCCGTGACGTGTAACCTCTTGTGGCGGGCTCTCGGCCCCGCCCACCCCCTCAGAGCCCTCGACCAGGGCTGGACCTAAACGCTGTTCTGCTGCACTTCGCCTGTGCTTTGCTTCTACTCTTGGCAGGGAGGCACAGGAACACAGGCAGAGCAACACGAACACCAACACGATGACATCACGAAGCACGACGATTGGGTCCAGCCCTTCCTTCGACCAGAGGGAGGGGAGCGGAGAGCGGGGCAGGGAGGACCGAAGGAGGGCGGAGAGCGAAGGGTGGAGAGGGAGAAGGGCGACAGTGGAGGAGGAGGAGGAGGAGGAGGAGGAGGAGGAGGAGGAGGAGGAGGAGGAGGAGGAGGAGGAGGAGGAGGAGGAGGGAGGAGGAGGAGGAGGAGGAGGAGGAGGAGGAGGAGGAGGAGGAGGAGGGCGGGGGCGACGCCCCTGGTCGGAAACCGCGTGGCCGACTCCGCCAGGGGCAGGGCCGCCTCGGCGTGGCCGCCGGCCTCCGCCTTTCTGCGGAGCCAGCCTCGGCCAGCCAGCGTGCCCCCGGAGGGCCCCCGGGCGGCCCTGGCCTCCTCGAGCAGCCTGAGAAGCAGGCAGCGCCACCTCCCCCTCCTCCTCCTCCTCCTCCTCCTCCTCCTCCCTTCTCCCCTTTTCTTCCTTCCCCTCCTCCTCCTCCTCCTCCTCCTCCTCCTCGAGCAGCTTGAGAAGCAGGTACCGCAACCTGAGCAGAGTCGCGCCTGCGGCGGCAGGACCTCCCAGCCACCACCTGCCCGCAGGGACTCGTCGGCGATCGGGACGAACGGAGCGGCGTCGGCACTCGGGGTCGACCCCACGATCGGCGCCAGCTGCTCCCTGGCGCCAGGCCTGCTTCTCTAGGATTATCTTGCTCAGCGTGCGCAGCGAGAGACTCGAGATCCGCCACCGGCACGTCGAACACGTGCAGGGCGACGTTGCGGAGAACCTTGACCATATGTGAGTGTACAGACGCTGTGCATCCCCTTCTGGCGATCTCCTCAGCGAGGATGGGAACAATGGCCTCGACTCTCCTGTTCAGCTCTGGGTCGGCATCCCAACAACCTCGCGCCAGCAGCAGCTCTTGGGCAAAGGGCAACTTGCGCCCGAGCAGCGGCCAGCTCGTCCCCGAAGCGCTTCACCAGCCGATCCGATGCCTCCCGCGCACGTGCCCGTCGGGCACGTCGATCTCCAGCAGCAATCAATAGGTGCGACCCTCCACACCCGCCCGTAGCCATTTCTCAAACACGAACGCCGTCCCGCTGCAGGGCCAGGAGCAACCATGCGGAGACTTGAGCAGTTGGGCTTCGCGCGCGAAAGGCTGGAGCCAAAATGGCTACGGATTCCTGCTCCTCCTCCTCCTCCTCCTCCTCCTCCTCCTCCTCCTCCTCCTCCTCCTCCTCCTCCCCCCTCCTCCTCCTCTGCTCCGCCCTCCTCCTGCTCCGCCTCCTCCTCCTCCTCCTCCCCTCCTCCTCCTCCCTCCTCCTCCTCCTCCTCCTCCCTCCTCCTCCTCCTCCTCCCTCCTCCTCCTCCTCTCCTCCTCCTCCTCCTCCTCCTCCCTCCTCCTCCTCCTCCTCCTCCTCCTCCCCTTCCTCCCCCTCTCCCCTTCTCTTCGCAACCGCCTCTGCGGCTACCACCTCTGCGCCCGCCCGACGGTGCGTCCGGGGCCCGCGCGTGCGCGGGCCAGCCACGCACGGGCACGTGGCCTCCCTGGACGTCACCAGGGGGCCACCATTGCTTGGGGCGGCGGGGGCGGAGGAGGGGGAGAGTGCAAGGGGGAGGGATCAGGGGGAAGGGGGAAGGGGGAAGGGGGAGGGGGAGGGGGAGGGGGAGGGGGAGGAGGAGGAGGAGGAGGAGGAGGAGGAGAGGAGGAGGAGGAGGAGGAGGAGGAGGAGGAGGAGGAGGAGGAGGAGGAGGAGGAGGGGGGTGGAGGAGGAGGAGGAGGAGGAGGAGGAGGAGGAGGAGGAGGAGGAGGGCGAGGGGGAGGAGGAGGAGGAGGAGGAGGAGGATGAGGAGGAGGAGAAGAGGGCGGCAGCGGAGGGTGTACGCGGGGGAGGCAATATGTCCTTCCTGCAACGTAGTCTTCGAGGAGGAGGGGAGGAGGGAGCGAGCAGTCGGGCCGTTCAGAAGACGTCGTTGTTCGTACCGGAGACGGCGTGCCTTGCGCGTAACGTTGTACACGGCGCACCTAGTTTGTAGCGCTGTCGACCTTCGTACGTCCCAGGCCTTCGGTAGCGCATGCTGGAGTACCATAATCAACGGCTTGAGGTAGGCCGCTCTCACCGTCGTTCAGGTCGTGGTCCTCGTAGTTTTGTTGGTAACTCCTGTGGCTGAGCTGTCTTCTTAAGGCAGCTACGGAGGGGTATATCGGCGGAGCTGGTATGTTGGTTGTCCCTGTACCTGGGCGGCAGCTTCCACGTTGTCATTTCCAGGACCGTGTGGTGGTAATAGCGTCGTCCCTGCTGGTCGAGGTAGCTGTTCCAGCCAGGTGGCAGGGAGGCTGATTGTTGCACCTTGTCTTTCGGTAGAGGGGGCGACCACTGCAACTGCTGCGTGACCCTTTGGTAGTGTTACGCCTTGCTGGACTTGCCGATCGGTCAGGGAGTTGACGGTTCTGATCGTCACGTCGCGCAGTTGGTGGCTCTCGTAGACATCAGAATTCAGTTGCTCTCGTAGGTGAGGTAGTTCTGCTCAAGTTCTGGCCCTCGTAACTCCGGCTGAAGCCCTTGTATCTCAGAAAGGGGGTTCGGAGTTCTGCTTCTGCTTCTTGCAGTGCAGCTCGTCGCCCCAGTCGCTCCGCGGGAGGCTCTGGCAGGTCTTCTGGTCGTCCGCCTAGGCCTGGTTGTGGCCCTGGAAGCTCAGCAGGTGGCCCTCACAGGTCTCGTAGCTCTGCCCGTGGTCTTCGTAGCTAAGCTCGCAATCCTCGTGCCTCTGCGGGTGTCTCTCGTTGTGGTTCCCGTAGCTCTGCAGATGGCCCGTGTATCTGAGCTGGTGGCTCTCGGAGTTCTGCAGCTGGGCCGTGCAGGTCGGCTCGTCGCCCCTGTAGCTCTGCTGGAAGCTCTTATTGTTATTGTTGCATCTGCGTGGCTCATGTGGCCCCAAAGGCTCAGCGTCTCGCCCTCGTGGCTCTCGTGGTTCAACTGGCGGTCCTCGGAGCCATGCCTGCGGTGGTCCACGCCCTGCCTGTAGCCCTGGTAGCTCAGCGCGTGGTCCCAGTAGCTGAGCGCGTGTTCCTCGTAGCTCAGCTGGTGGCTGTCCTTGCTCAGCAGGCGGTCCTTGCAGCTCGGCTCGTCGCCGTGGTAGCGCTGCGGCAGGCTCTCGCAGTCTTGCTTGCGGCCCGCGTAGCTCCGGCAGGGGCCCTCGTGGCTCTGCCGGTGGCCCTCGTGGTTCGGCTGGTGGGTCTCGGGGTTCCGGTTCCGGTCCTTGCCGTGCAGCTCGTCGCCCAAGTCGCTCTGCAGGGGGGTCGGGTACTCCAGATTTCACAATAAAGGGGAGGGGGGTCTGGACCCTCCAAGACAAGCCATTTCAGACCTCCCCCGTGGGAGAACCCTCCAGAACATCGTCCCCAGACCCCCCAGGCCCTCCAAGATAGCCTGGAAGAGACCCCCCCCGAAAGGAGACCCCCCTCCCTTTATTACGAAATCTGGGGTAGGTCGTCCTCCAGTCCGCGTGGTTCTGGCTGTGGCCCTGGAGGCTCGGCGGGTGGCCTTCCTGCGCCTGGATGG